TGGAGATGTAAGGGACCCTGAATAATCAAAACAGCTTTGAAAAGAAAAACAAATCTGGAGGTCTCAGACAGACTGTGCTGGATCAGGACAGGCACATGGACGAATCAAATGCAACTGAGAGTCCACAGATGGACCCTAACATTTGTGAAATGTTGATTTTTGACAAATGGGCCAAAGAAATCACTGGACTAAGAAGAATCTTTGTATCAGGTGGTCCTGGGACAAATGGAATTTCCACATACAAAAAATGGATTTGTACCACTATTTCATACACACACACACACACACACACACACACACACACACACATTCCATAAAGTACCCTTTAGGCATAAATTAAGAAAAAAATATAAAACTCTTTGGAGGATATTTGTTAGATAAAGCATCACAAATGACATTTTTAAAGATGGATTAGTTGGACATCATGAAAATAAAAGTGTACTTTAACAGGCACTGTCTTACTTTTCTATTCTGTGAGGAGATACCGGGACCAAGGCAACTTATATGAGAAAGAGTTTATCTGGAACTTACAGTTTCAGAGGGTTACTGTCCATGACCAGTATGGTGGGAGGCAGGGCAGCAGGTAGGCAGGCATGGCACTGGAGCAGTAGCTGAGAGCTCACATCTTGATCCACAAATGCAAGATGGTGTGTGGTGGTGGGGTTGAGGTTTTGGAAACCCCAAAGCCCAGCCCCTGTGACACACCTACTCCAACAAGACCACACCTTGTAATCCTTTCAAAACAGTTCCAACAACTGGGGACCATGCATTCAAATATGAACCTTTGAGGCTATTCTCATCCAAGACACCACAGACATTATCAAGAAAGTGAAAAGGCAGCTCAAGTAGTGGAAGAAAAATATTTGCAAATCATTTATCTTAGATGGGACTTTGTATCCAGAACATGTAAAGAAAGAACTGTGTTGCTAAAATTCCTTCACCAGGAGACATAAACAACATCTGCCCCTCCTCCCAAGATCCTGATGGATAGATAGTAGACTATTGTTCATCGAGGGGAACCAATAAATTTGTTAGTCTTATTTACAGAGCAATGAGTGTGGGTTCTGAGTGGAAGCATGGGTGATCAGAGAACAGCCACACTGGACAGTCTGCTGTCAGCATGGAAAATGACTCCCCACAGCTGTGTAGGGGGAACTGCTCCCTCAGTCCTTCCCCACCTATGCACTCTATCCCTTCTCCAAGGCCATATACAATTTGGGCAGAACTGCATAAAACTTGTTGTAAGAGAAGACTGGACACTAAGTAAAGGGTCTCATGACCCTCCTGCCCTCTCCTCCTAAGAGGGAATGTCAGCAGTCAACAAGCCCAGCTATGATGATGTTTTTCAAGCAGACCAATAGAACTCCTGGAGATGATAGCACTGTGGTTCAGAGGGTAGTGCTGTACAAAAAACCGTATTCAACAATAGGAGGAAGAACAATTCAAGTGTGAGTGAAGGATCAGAAAAGGTATCTCTTTAAAAAAGATGTACAAATGGTACTTGAACATATAATCAATGATGTTAGTGTTTAAAGAGCTACAAATAAAAACCTATAAGCCATACTCACCAGGCTGGCGGTAGTGAAAATGGCAGTACCAAATGGTATTGTTACCCTACTGTAATTAGGGAAATGGAAAATTGTTGGCAGATATGTAAAATGTTACAGCCACTTTGCAAAGCAGCTTGACACTTTCTAAACGTGTTAAATATAGGATTAATATAACACAATTCTACTCTTAAGCTACACCCATGGTAACTGAAAACATATATTCACATAAAACTTGTATGTGTATAGTAGGATTATTTTAAAAAATCAAAAGAAAAGTTGGCATGGCGGTACAGCACTTGGGAAGCAGAGACAGGAGGCCCAAAGGTTCCACGACATCTTCTGCTGCTTTGTCAGTTCAAGGCAAGCCTGGGTTACAGGAGACCCTAGCTCAAAAAACCAATGTTGGGGAGATAGTCAATAGAGAGCTTGGCTTGCAAGCATGAGGACCCGAGTTTGAACCCCAGAACCCAGTTAAAAAAAAGACAGGTGTAGTGGTGCACACTTGCAATCCGGGACTGGAGAAGCAAGTGGAGACAGGAGGATCGCTGGGGCTTGCTAGCCTTGCCTACATGGAGACTTCTAGGCCAGTAAGAGAGCCTATCTAAAAACGAAGAGAAAGGGGTAGATGGCACCCGAGGAACGCTCTCTAAGGTTGTTCTCTCATACACACATGACACATGCACCCATACACACATGAACACAAATATAAACACAGAAAATCAAAAGGTGGTAACATTGGCCTGAGGAATGGATAAACAAAATATGGTATATCCATCCATGCAATGTGGTATTATTTGGCCTGGTAAAATAAAGAAATGCGGTTATAAACTAAAACACAGATGCACCTGAAGAATGTAAGTAAAAGAATTCCAGTTACAAAAGGTCAAATCATGTATGATTCAGCTCCTACAAAATACCTGAATTAGGTACATCTACAGCAACAGAAAGTACACTGCTGTTTACATAGGGCTGGGAAAGCTGAGGGTAGGGTTGGATAGTGAGCAACTGCTAATGGTATTTCTTTGGGGGATGACAAAATGTTCTAAGAATTACATTATGACTGTGTGCTGGTTAGTTTTGCCAACCTGACACAAACTAGAGTCACCTGGGAAGACGGACACTCAGTTGAAGAAGTGCCTCCATCAGACTGGCCTGTGGACATGTCTGTGGGGCATTTTCCTGACTGATGTGATATGACTTTCTGGCAGGTAGTCCTGAGTTAAGAAAGCAGGCTGAGCAAGCCAGGGAGTAGTAGTGTTCTTCCATGGTCTCCACTTCAGTTCCAGCCTTGGCTTCTCTTACTGCAGACTGTGATGTGGAAGTGTGAGCCAAACAGTGCCCCTCTGCCTCAAGCTGGTCTGTAAAGAACCAGTAAGACCTCAGGTGAGCTGAGAGACTCTGGACAGGAAAGCTGGCCTGCTAACAGCTCCTGCAGGCTAGGATCTGCAAGCTCCTGATAAGATAAACAAACCTCCATTGGTGTTTGCAGCTGCAGAGGACAGAACAGGAGAGACCTCTGATCAAAGGACAATCTGCTTCTGCAGAGCTCAGTCTATTTTATTGCCATGTTGTTGCCTCCATGGATCCTGGTCTAACAGAACTGGTCAGTGTTTTATCACAGGGACAGATGGCAAATTAATATAGACTACATAGTTGTAGATATAGTTAAAATATCTATTTATACACGTTAAAGGGGGTGATTTTTGAGTATGTAAATTACATCTCAATAACGCTGTAAAACTTTAAATGCTCAGTTTTTCAGTAAAGAACTTGTCTGAGATATAAAAAGGCCATAGTTAAGCTAACACTTCCCCCAGGATTATGGGGGGGGAGCAAACTTTCATACAAATGAATATGATTAATTATAATCAACATCTATCATTAGTACTAAAGTGAGTCCATCTGTATGAAACAGTGTGCATGTGCTCTTGATAAGGAGGGTCATTTTTTGGAGGGTCCAGTGAGACAGCACAGTTAATTTTTTTATTTTTATTTATTTATTTAATTTTATTTCAGGGCTGAGGACCGAACCCAGAGCCTTGTGCTTGCTAGGCAAGCGCTCTACCACTGAGCTAAACCCCCAACCCCAGCACAGTTAATTTTTAACATCATCTATTTGTATCTAGCATCCTTTAGTTTGCTGTTGGCTGTTTCTCAAAATAACCACGCTTCTTCTACCTCTTTTCATTAAAAATAGGATAATAGAAGTGAAGAGACTCTGGCCAGCTTGAGCATGGCAAACATGGCTCTGACAGGCCCTGCCCTTCTCCCCCATTCCCTCGGCCTTGCTAAAAACGATTAGATTACATCCCTAAAGCCAGACACCAAGGACTACTCCCTTACCTGGCCACTTCCTCCTCCTGAGGCTGACTACCAAGGTCCAGTTATCGAAGTACTGAAGTCCAGCAATCAAAAGCCCCTTAGGCTCACCTAATCAGCACGTCCAATTAAAATTAAACACCTCACCATTCCCCCTGTACCTTTATAAACCACCATTTTCCTATGTGTCCCATCTGTCTCCTCTCTCTGCAGAGGCAGTCCTTTGTCCCTCCAGGACAAATACTCCTGTCCCCTTTCTCTTGTTCCCTCCCCCTTCTGCCACGTCCTCTACATCCCCGTCTTTGTCTCCTATTCCCTGCCCTCTGTCCCTCTGGGGCAAATGAATCCCCTTTGTGCTGAGAACTTGGTCTTGGGGGTCCTGGGAGATACTTTTCATTTCAGTAAGTATTTCTTCAACTTGTTCCTTTTGGATAAATTTAGGGTAGAGTGCTGTATTATATTTCACTCCATTAAATTCACAAGTCTTATTAGTAAGCTAGCTATGGAGATAGAAATGAGAATTCAGTATCTTATAATTTTTGTGGTCAACTATATCCAGACTTGTCTGTAAAGGTCTTTTAAATGTGTGGCAGATTGAGGAAGAACTGCACAGTGCTCCAAATGAATGATTTTTATAGAAACTTAAAGAAGTTACAACCACCACTAGCAATCAACTTTAAATCTCTGTCCTGCGCTAAGAAATGCAAGCCTGTTCAAGTTTAATCTGAATGCTACATAATTTGAAATTTGACATCCAAAAATTTATTATACATTCGGAAGGAAATATTTTATAGAAACTGTTTGTCTATGTTTTTACATAGATTGTCATTTTTTTTCTCCATACTCCATGTTTCACTCCTTTGGAGTCCCCCAATTTTCTCTCTTTCTGAGAAGCCATAGTCTTTGTTTCTAATGAGACCAGGAAGAAAAGGGAAGTGAAGTAGTGAGGTAGCTCAGTGGTAGAGACCTGGATAAAGGCCTGGGTTAATCCTCATAACGATACAAGCAAAAACAGAGAAGGCGAGTGATCCTAAATTCTTGGCCACCAGCAAACATTCAATATATATAAATTTTTAAAGCGGTGCCGATTTTTTTTTAACTAAAAAAGTACAATGAAGGTTTCTAAGAAGCTCTATCAGTTTAAGAATTCTATCTTGTAAGCAAAATTTAACATTACCCGGAATGTAACACAACCACGAGGGGTTGACAAGCTTACAGAGGTGGTTCAGCTTGATTACATAATACCTCCAGCAAGCTGTACAGGCATGAATCACATTAGTAATTCTGTAGAAAACTGCTGACGATTCACACCAAATCCTTCAATGACACATAGCCTCAGTTCAGGGCAGACTTTACTACCAAAAGGAATTCAGAAAGACAGATTGCGGCTTTTAATGCATTAACTGAAATGAATTTTTAAAACCGTGTTGGATACCAGACCACAGCATGTAAAATATTTTTTCCTTCCACGGAAATCTAACAGTGGAAGAAATAAACTGTGTATATATGATGAAAATTGAGACAATTTATTTCAGGAGGTAAATGAAAAATGCATTGACCTATGAAACTAAATTAACCTCATAGTCTTCCTCTAGAACTCCTAGATACACTCTGAATTAAAAATGCTACTTCTTGGGCCAATAAAAAACTCCAGACCAGTCCCAAGACTGAAGCTTGAACATTCCTGGAGACTCCAAGGGCTTGCAGCAGAGGGCTGGCTGGGAGCTGGACAAATCTCAAGTCTCGAAGAAGGCGACGAGGCCAAACCGGATCTGTGCTACTGCTTTTCCCTTGCCAGTAGACAGGGTAAACAATAACATGCCTCTGTAAATTCTTGCTTGGGTCATGCAAAAGAGGCTCGCACTCACGAGGGGGCGGGGCGACTGGGCGTGAGAAGAGAAAGGAACACAGCGCCAAGCGGAGAAGAGGTTGGGTGAAAACCAGGCTGAGCCTGGCCTTCCTTACCCATCCTCAGGGTTGTGCCCGTGCGTGGGCGGAGCCGCCCACATCTCTCCGGACCACGGCCAACCTCCCGCAGCATCCGGCAGGAAGCTGCTTTAGCCGGGACTGCGAAGCCGCTAATCGGATTTTCTGCTCGCGTTCCGGGGGTCCGCAGCCAGGGATGCAACCCGAGCTTGGAAAACCGGCGGGGGCGGCACCAGGTCGGTAGCGGCCCGCCTGGTCTGCCCACCCTTTCCAGCGCGGGGTGGGACCCTCGCGGCTCCCCGCCCAATCCCGTTCCCCGACGCGCGCAGGGCGGGCGGGACCCTCGTGGCTTTCCGTCCAATCCCGTTCCCCGACGCGCTCAGGGCGGGACCCTCGCGGCTTTCCGTCCGAGTCGGGCTCCTGGGCAGCGCAGGGCTGGCAGGCCGGCCGGGCTAGCGGGTGATCGCGGAGGGCTAGGCGGGGTGCGGAGGTGAGCGTTCCCGTGCAGACGGCGCGCTCTCCTTCCCTTCCCAAGGGGCGAGGGGTGCTGAATTGCGCGGAGCGGAGCAGAGTCCAGTGGGGTCGGGCGCGGGTGTGGCGTCCGCAGGCGTCTCGCCCTTCGGGTCTTGGGTATCCCTGAGTTGCGCCGCCCAGCTAGCATGTCGGGGTGCTCGATCGGTTGGTTGGTTTTGCTAGTTTCGTGGTGTTTCCCCACTTGTCCTCATCCACAGTGCGGAGTTGTCCTTGGGTTGGTGGGAGGAGTTTCTGAACTTTGCTTTCTGCTTCTGCTTCAGCCTAGCTTAGCTGCGGGCACCGGAAGGTTCCCTGTGCTCCTTAGGTCCACCTAATAGGTTGCCTGTAACATAGCTAGCTCTACAGTGATCCAAACTTGCTGTCTAACTGATGACCATTCTCTCCTTCTCCAGCCTCTTTCCCCTTCCTGATCGTTAGCTGAGCGCATTTCTTCCTTCTTGCAGTCATCAGCCTTGTTCAGGTTCCCGTGGTTTCAAATCAGAATTGTTCAAACTCCTGGCAGTCCTGAACACTTCATCTTGGTTTACTGGTATGTGACACTCTTATTTGTTTACTTACTCTTCCTGGGTCTCTTTCCTACTTCTCTGAGTTCACATCACTTTGCTTTCAGGAAATCCACTCTAGTTATTGTAATCGTTTTCTTAACGTTATTGGAATCGTTTAACTTAATCTATGTGGTTGAAAACTTAAGACAACTCTTGAAGAATCTATGATTACCTGCTGCGGGAATTGAGCACCATGGCAACATAAAATTAGTATTCTTGTTCTGGCTTTGTGGTGTCTATTAAGTGACAAGGAAGTGTGAAGAGAAGGGCTTGCTGTTGCGTATTAGTTTCCTGTTGCTGTCACAGCAGATGATCACAAGCTTAGCAGGTGAATGAACACAGCTTCTGTAGATCAGAAGTCTGAGTGAGTTTAGCTGTTGACCCTGCACAGAATCCCTAAAGGAGAGGTCAGGGTTTCTGTTATGAGTCATTTTCTGAGGTTTTAGGAGGGAGAATCCTTCTTCGGGTTCATTATGTTGGCAGAATTTAATTCCTGCTCATTTGCAGTAGGATTGAGGTTCCCATTCCTGTCAGCACTGTTTGTCTCTGAATTCTTGAGGTCGTGGATATAGACATAGAGGTGGCAGCCTCTTTACCCCAAAGATTCAAATGATTTGGTTAGGTCCTGCCTATTTAAGTCCCTTTTTTGTAGATTAAACCCAGTTGCAACCACAGGAGTAATGATCATCTATCATAAAGACAAGTTCTGGAGACTAAAAAGGGTATGTAGGAGTTGAGGTCATCATTAACAGTTACACCATAATATAGTTGTTTCAGGATGGACTGTTTTTATGGCATGCTTTTAGGGCATTAAAAAAAATTCTGGCCGGGCGGTGGTGGCGCACGCCTTTAATCCCAGCACTCGGGAGGCAGAGCCAGGCGGATCTCTGTGAGTTCGAGGCCAGCCTGGGCTACCAAGTGAGTTCCAGGAAAGGCACAAAGCTACACAGAGAAACCCTGTCTCGAAAAACCAAAAAAAAAAAAAAAAAAAAAAAAAAAAAAATTCTGATGACTGTATGGTTATACATTGAAAGATGAAGAGATTCTATTAGTTCCTTGCCTAGAGTTGGATGGGTGTTGGTGGCACTAGGGAGTCAGAGGCAGGCAGGTCCGTGTGAATTCTGGCAAGCCTGGTCTACATTGCTAGTTCCAGGACAACAGGGGTACATAGTGAGATTCTGTCTCAAATATAAAAGGATACATTTTGAGATCCAGTGAGACTGATCATTAGATATGGCACCTGCAGCCAAGCCAGATAACCCAAGTGTGATCCCCAGGACCCACAAAGTAGACAAGAACAAACTCCTGTAAGTTGCCCTCTTACATGTGTGCTATGGCAGCCCACTACCACCAAATACACATTCCCATTTTTTTTCCAGTCAATTGCCTAGGAGCAGATGGTTAGAAAGCGGCTGAGTCTGTGTTTAGGACCAAGAGCCACTGTTAAGTCCGAAGCTGTTTATCAATATTCAAATGGGCTGTAAGTGAAACCATTAAAAAGGAAGAGGCTGAACTTTGAGGTCCTAAGGTATTAGCCAAAGTAATCTGCCATGCCTTTGTTTCTGATATTGTTAACTTTTATAACACATGAGTAGAATGTTTTATTTAACTTTGCTGTTTTACAATAGGATATGAAAGGACAGGAAGTTTTTATTCAGCATTAATTTCTTATTTTCTTAGTTACTGTTTTTATAAGAAATTTATAAACAACTTTTTCAGAAATCTTAATTTTTATTTAATGCCAGTGTACCCTATTCATATATGGGGTTAGTTTGATTTTGATGAGATTTACCACAAATGTAGAAAATATTTAAGATTGGGTTATGATACTCAAAGCCAATCTGATTAGGTCCCGTGCCATCTGCATAGTTTTAAGTTACATCAGCTTGTCACATGAATTCTTACAGTCTGAAATATTCCATGACCCATTCTTCCACACCTCTGCATTGCTTTTCAGAGTTTCTCAGACCATAATATTTTTCTACACATCCAATCCTATCCACCCAGCAAGACACTCTGAGGTTCCCTAATGCCCTGTAATGTTGCCTTGTAGAAGGGGTGGGTATAACCTAACGGATTTGCATTTGGATACCCAGGATGACCTCTCAAACGGATGACTAACTCTGAGATTTCTGTTTTCTTATGTAAAGCAGTGTGGTTAGGGAGTAAGCATGCTTTTTGTAGCACACTGCACTGTCTGGTGTATGATGATGACTGCTGGTCTCGCTGATGACGCTTTGATTCCTAGTATGTTAAATTTACACTGTTAAAAGTTGATTTTCTTTGTCCAACAAGTTTACAAATATGAGATTGAAATTGTGACTGATGTTGCTCTTTTTTTCAGTTTTTCTACTTTGACTATATCATGGAAAATCAATTGGCAAAATCAATTGAAGAACGGACATTTCAGTATCAGGATTCTCTTCCACCATTGCCTGTCCCTTCACTTGAAGAATCGTTAAAAAAATACCTTGAATCAGGTATGTTCATCATCTTCTAGTGTAGATTAATATTGTTAGTGACAGAGAAGCGATGTCAATGTGGGTCTAATTGTAGATGCCTCCAGGCTCTTCCTTACAATATGTAAAACTTTTTAAAAGTTATTTTTTCCATGGTTTGAAAAGTCTGATAGTATTAATTGCCTGTATTGTAAATGTCTCCATCTGCTTGTACAAGTCCCACTTAGGGCAACGATTTTGAAATCTTTCTCTGTGTCTTTCGCTATCACCATATTTGACCTAATATTTCTTGGATCTTGTAGTTGCAGATATTGTAAATTAGTTCTGCAGTTTTCTCTCTAACACCTGTCTGATCATATGTACGGTCCCTCATGTCCACATTTCCCCTCAAATTCTCATCATTCATATATATACATATACATATACATATACATATACATACACATACATGTATGTGTATGTATATGTATATATACGATCACCACTTTAAGTCAGCAGCCACCAGATTTTAATAACTCTTTACCTTCATTCACTTGGCCACTCAGGGTTGAGAGCAGTGGTTCTCAACTTCGTAATGCTGCGACCGTTTAATGCAGTATCTCATGTTGTAGTGACCCCCAACCATACAATTATTTTCATTGCTACTCTATAACTATAACTTTGCTACTGTTGTGAATCCTAATGCAAATTTCTGTGTTTTCCAATGGTATTAGGTGACCTCTGTGAAAAGGTCATTTGGCTGCCACGGGGGTCGTAATCCACAGGTTGAGAACCTCTGGTTTAGTTGTTTGTAAATGAGCCAGTCATTTTAGTTTGGTGCTTATTCGTTACATTTCCACCTTCTTTTTCATTGCTTAATTTTTCCCTTTGTGTTCATAGTTTATTCCTAAACACTGCAATGGGGGAACATTCTTGTTTACAGTTAGACATAAAATATTGAGTCAGTTTTCTTTCCTCTTAAAAATGTGCATTGTGGAGCTCTTTTTCCCCTCCTCCCCCCCTTATCGCCTCCCCCCTTCTCCTACTCCTCTCTTTCTTCCCCCCTCTCCTTCCCACTTCTCTTCCCCTCCTTCATCCTCCCTCTCCTTCCTCCTTCTCTTTCCCCCTCCTCTCTTCCCCCTTCTACTCCTTTCCTTTCCCCTCTGCTTCCCCCTTTTTCTCTCCTCTTTTTCCCCTCTCTCTTCCCCCCTCTCCTTCTCACTTCTCTTCCCCCCTCCTTCCCCGCTCTCCTCCCCTCTCCTCTCTCTTCCCCCTTCTCTTTCCCCCTCTCCTTCTCACTTCTCTTCCCCCCCTCCTTCCCCGCTCTCCTCCCCTCTCCTCTCTCTTTGCCCCTTCTCTTTCTCCCTCTCCTTCTCACTTCCCGGCTCTGTGCTAGAGTTAGCTCCCGATCTTGAGGAGGTGCTGAGTTCATGAGTGCATCAACGATAGTGTCCAGAGGACAGCATTTCCCAGCACTCCATCTACCCTCCTGCTCTTAGACTCACTCCAACGCCTCTTGCTTCCTGAATCTTGGTGAGGGGGTTGATAGAGATAGCCTGTCTATGCCAAACACTCAGTCACTTATTCTTACCCTTTAAACAGTCATGAGTCTCTGCATTAACTATTACCCATTGCAGTAAGAAGCTCCTCTGACCAAGGTTGAGAGCAGCACAAATCTATGAATATAGTTAGAAGGCATTTTGACAACATGATCATTTAGGAAAACATCAGTAGGTTGTCTTTGCTAGAGCTTATGATTCCTCTGTTTGATGGGTTTTGATTATATTTATGAGATGAGGCATGGCTTTTCTCCTGAGGAACAGGTCTCAAATGCTGTAAAAAGAGTGGTTACCCCCATGAATGGTCATGCCTCTATTGCAGCAGTGGTTACAATGTTGCCTTACAGGTTGGTCGTGTAGCATGCAGAGTCCAGCACTGGATACAGTATTCATGTCTTTTATGTTCCATCAGACTACACAGCACCTTCCAGCAGTTTCCTGGTCAGTTCATTGATTCCCCTGTGCCCTGCCGCCCAAGTGTGTGATGTCCTTAGCAGTAAGGTCTTATCATCTAGTCCAGTGGCTCTGGACCTTCCTAGTGATGTACCCCTTTAATACAGTTCTTCATCCAGATGTTATTTCATGGCTACAAACAACTATTTTTTCTCCTGTTATGAATCATAATGTAAATATCTGATACGCAGAGTATCTGCTATGTGACCCCAATGAAAGGGTTGTGTGACCCCAAAGGGGTTGCAACCCACAGGTTGAGAACCACTGATCTAGTCATTGTGGGCAACAAAGAACAATGGCAACGGCCTGTATTGTTGGGGTGCTCATAGGAATGGAACCCATCCCTGGCACTGAGGTTTTCATTTAATAACCAAGGCTCAGGAATTCAAGGTACATGATCCCTTCAAAAGCAGAGGGAAAAATGAAGGGAGCAGCATTGTTCACTAATGTAGGAACCTTTGTTCAACGCCTCCCCTTGATGTATTTTTGATTAGGTTACAAATTAGTGAGGTTTCATAAGTCCTTAGTTGTGGCTAGCCCACCCCTCTACCCCTCCTTCTCCCACCCCATCCCCATCCCCACTTAAACCTTTAGCTTCTAGTACCCACCCCTTCCACATTCTTTCATGCTGTGTATATTCTATCCCCTCATACTTTATTTGTTACTTAGAGTGCAAAACCATAGGTTCCTACATGGTTTCCTCATGCATTCTTCATTTTGGCTGCCCCTTCTCCTAGCCCTTTATCTTTGTGACCCTCGCTCCATTTGAGTGATCCAGACAGGTCCCCCTTTCTGTTTGTTTGTTTTTTTTTTAAATTCCCTTTTTAGCACTTTATAACCCCAATTTACATTCCACACCAATTCACTCAGATCAACCAGATTCTTTCTTACCCTGTAAAGATCATGATTTATCATTGGGCTCAGCAAAGCAGCAAAACCCCACAACAGTCCCAAGGTCCATGCTTCTTTTTTTTTTCTCTCCATTTTTCTTTATTAAGAAATTTTCTATTCACTCTACGTACCATCCACAGATCCCACCTCCTCCCTCTTCCCACCCCCCCAGCCCTCTCTCCCAAGCCACCTCACATCCCCACATCTTCCAAATCAAGGTCTCCCATGGGGAGTCAGCAGAGCCCGGCACACTGAGCCTAGGCAGGTCCAAGCCCCTTCCCACTGCAACAAGGCTATACAAGGTGTCACACCACAGGCAACAGATTCCCAGAAGCCTGCCAATGCACCAGGGACTGATCCTGATCCCCCTGCCTGGGTGCCCCTCAAACAGTTCGAGCTGAACAACCATCTTCTGTATCCAGAGGACCTAGTCCAGTCCCATGGGGGCTCCACAGCCACCAGTCCACAGTTCATGGGCTTCCACTAGTGTGGCCGGTCATCTCTGCACGTCCTCCCATCATGATCTCCATGTCCCCTGCCTGCAGAATCCCTCCTCTCTCTCATTGATTGGATTCCCAGAGCTCAGCCTGGTGCCTGGCTGTGGATCTCTGTATCTGCCTCCATCAGTCACTGGACAAAGGCTCTATGATGACAGTTAGGGTATTTACTAGACCAGTCACCAGAGTAGACCAATCCAGGCACCCTCTGCCAGCAGAAACATACAACACTACCATCAAAAAATAACAGGAATTAACAATAACTGGTCATTAATATCCACTAATATCAATGATCTCAATTCACCTATAAAAAGACACAGGCTAACAGAATGAATATAAAAACAAGATCCATCCATTTGCTGCATACAAGAAACACACCTCAACTTCAAAGACAGACACTACCTCAGAATAAAAGCCTGGGAAAAGTCTTTCCAATCAAATGGATTTAAGAAGTAAGCTGGTATAGCTATCCTGATATCTAATAAAATAGACTTCAAACTAAAATCAACTGAAAGAGATCGGGAAGGACATTACATATTTATCACAGGGAAAATCCAACAAGATGAAGTCTCAATTCTGAATATTTATGCCCCCAATACAAGGGCGCCCACATTTGTAAAAGAAACGTTACTAAAGCTTAAATCACACATCAAACCCCATACACTAGTGGTGGGAGACTTCAACACCCCACTCTCACCAACGGACAGGTCCGCCAGACAGAAACTTAACAGAGAAATAAGGGAACTAACAGATGTTATGACTCAAATGGACTTAATCGATATCTACAGAACATTCCACCCTAACACAAAAGAATATACCTTCTTCTCAGCACCCCTAGATGAGGATATCATGGTCCATGCTTCTTAACTGCCTTTTTACTGTAGTCCTGTGTGTCTCAGAGAGCTGGGTGTCACACACTACCTCTCTCATGCCCAGTCCCCCTGCTATCATTTCCACCTCATTTTCTCCCTCACACATTGTTCAGTATATCGACGAGTTCCAAGATTTTGGATGTCAGGAGGGGATACTTAGAACAGCCAGATCTAATTTGTACTTTGCCTTGTGGCCCTCCTGCCATTAGAAATAGAGTGAACTGTTAGGTCTCAAACCTGGAGCACATGGCTGAGGTTCCTATTTAACATATCGGAGTGGATACTGGTTGTCAGGGTCTCCCTGCATCCTCAGTCTCTACCTGTTACAGGGCCCTCCTTGCTGGCATAACCCACCGCCTACCCTAAACCTCTCCAGCCCTTGAGCTGGGTGTCCTTCCCCCATCTGCCCTTACCTCTGTAATCCAGCCATTTTGCTGTGCTGGTTCTTTTTTGGCCCCTTTCTTCTACCCTTTACCTTCCTGGCCTCTTGCTGTGTCTCTCCCCTGTTCCCTCCCCCCTCTCCTCACATGGCCTGGCTCAGTCTGGTCACGTCCACTCTGGACTCTCCCAGATGTCTCTGCCTCTGGCTATGCTCTCCCTCATATCTGCAGTAAACTTTCTCCTCCACCATACCTAGGAACACTCATGCCCTTTTTAAATTTTTTTTTCATTCATCTGGTGCCAAAACCCAGGACCAGTCATGTCTTTTCCTTTCTTATTTCTTATTTCCTTTTTTCTTTTGTGAGCAGTACCTCCATCTCGTTCCCAGGTTTGTCTGGTTCACTTGCTAACCAGAGACTGTCGTGGAGGATGCCACCACATACTGTCTTCTCATTGTTCTTCCCTTGTGGGCGAAGTTCTTTCCTGGGAGATGGGTAGCCTCGGTTGCAGGTGTTACCAGAGCAGGGATAATTCAGTTTCTACCACAGCAAGGAGACACACCGTTCCATCCTAGGGGAGGTGTCTGTGTCAGGACTGTCCTGAAGCTCCTCTGCTCTCAGCGTTGGTCCTGTTTCCTTGCCATTCCAGCTGTGTCCTAAGTCACCTGTACCCCTGTGTGTCTGTCTCTGTTTGAGCACCAATGTGTTAGCTTTCCAAGGAGACATGAGCAATTGTTCATTAGCCTCAGACAAGGCACCGGCAACAGACCAAAGAAATAATTCCATCTGAGTTCAGTTTGGTAAGCCAAGGAGTTTATTAGTTTATTATTACAGGAGTATGGGTGACTTTTTAAAACAGTTGTATCATTGAAAACTCCCGCCTCCTCCTGAAAGCCAGATAGCTGGAGTCCCTGCCTTCAGTAAACCTTCCACTCTCTGTAACTCCAGCATTTCCTTCTGGGATCATGTGTAGGTGGGGCATGAAAGGGAGAGGCTAGAATTTCACAGGAGAGCCCAACCTAAACCAACCTCTCTATGAAGGAGGGCCACAGACCAAATCTTGTGAAGGTCATATAAATGTAGACACAGCGCTCTGATGAAAATGGTGTAGCCATGTTAATGTTATACGCCGAGGCCGGGCCTCCACAACACCTGCCAATCCTTGGGCATTCACATTTAAGATTGAGATTCTGAAAATCTCGCTGGGAACTCTGTGTGCTTGGGTTGGACTTGGTGACTAGTGGATCTTACTGTTGAGTGCAGGGAAGAGACCTAGTAATTTCATTAGCACACATGTGAATTCCGGCACTCTTTTCTTGAACTCATCAGTTAGAGATGTGGAGAAAGCTGAGCATGTAATTTAACTTTTTTAAAATTTAAACTAAATGCAAGCTGTTACCTAGAAACAAAAACATATACATATTAGCTGGGTACTATGTGATTTCAATATATGTATATCATGTAATGTTTAAAATAGGTCAAATATCTGTCTCTTCAAACAATATTTCATTATGTTGAAAACATTCAAGATCTTGCTTTCCAAGACACTCAGTGTGTAATTGTCCATAGCAGCATTCCAGAGCTTCTTGTTTCTATCTCCTTTAGTACCTACTGATCAACCTTCCACACCCTGCTCCCCGCCCTCCCCTTTGAGATTTCCATGTGTCAGTGTTACCAGATGATGTACCAGATCGTGTTGGCTTCTGTTCTAGGCTTTGTTCACTTAGTGTTTCCAGTTTTACCTGTGTTGTAATGTCAATGTTCCATTTTTTTTTAATGGCTGAATGATAGCTTTTCAGTGTCTTTGTAGTACAGTTCTTTCTCTATTTATCAGTTGACAGATACTTAAGTTATTTCTGTTTCCTGCATTTTGTGAATAATACTTCAATATAAGATGTGTATTTTCAGTATAGTACCACTTTTTTTTAGTGTGGGCCAGAATCTTTTTTCCTAGCCTTAAGAAAAAGTTTTGTGGATGGGGTGGTTGTCTCTGTGTGGATGGGGTGGTTGTCTCTCTGTGTGGATGGGGTGGTTGTCTCTCTGTGTGGATGGGGTGGTTGTCTCTCTGTGTGGATGGGGTGGTTGTCTCTCTGTGTGGATGGGGTGGTTGTCTCTCTGTGTGGATGGGGTGGTTGTCTCTCTGTGTGGATGGGTGGTTGTCTCTCTGTGTGGATGGGGTGGTTGTCTCTCTGTGTGGATGGGGTGGTTGTCTCTGTGTGGATGGGGTGGTTGTCTCTCTGTGTGGATGGGGTGGTTGTCTCTGTGTGGATGGGGTGGTTGTCTCTCTGTGTGGATGGGTGGTTGTCTCTCTGTGTGGATGGGGTGGTTGTCTCTCTGTGTGGATGGGTGGTTGTCTCTCTGTGTGGATGGGGTGGTTGTCTCTCTGTGTGGATGGGTGGTTGTCTCTGTGTGGATGGGGTGGTTGTCTCTCTGTGTGGATGGGGTGGTTGTCTCTCTGTGTGGATGGGGTGGTTGTCTCTCTGTGTGGATGGGTGGTTGTCTCTCTGTGTGGATGGGTGGTTGTCTCTCTGTGTGGATGGGTGGTTGTCTCTGTGTGGATGGGGTGGTTGTCTCTGTGTGGATGGGTGGTTGTCTCTCTGTGTGGATGGGTGGTTGTCTCTCTGTGTGGATGGGGTGGTTGTCTCTGTGTGGATGGGTGGTTGTCTCTCTGTGTGGATGGGGTGGTTGTCTCTGTGTGGATGGGTGGTTGTCTCTCTGTGTGGATGGGTGGTTGTCTCTGTGTGGATGGGTGGTTGTCTCTGTGTGGATGGGTGGTTGTCTCTCTGTGTGGATGGGTGGTTGTCTCTCTGTGTGGATGGGTGGTTGTCTCTGTGTGGATGGGTGGTTGTCTCTGTGTGGATGGGTGGTTGTCTCTCTGTGTGGATGGGTGGTTGTCTCTCTGTGTGGATGGGTGGTTGTCTCTCTGTGTGGATGGGTGGTTGTCTCTCTGTGTGGATGGGTGGTTGTCTCTGTTGGTTTTGGTGAATACCTGTAGCAGTCTCTTCATCCTTCATTTTCCCTTTGTTATTGAACGTACTTTATGCCTTGAATTCTTGAACCTTGGGTTCTGCTATCAGAATTGGCTTGTTTATTGACTTACACTGAACCTTTCTTGTATTTTCTGTAATCTTTTATTCTTCAGGACTTAGATACTTATTTTCTCTATTTTACAAAGCCAGTAATCATTTTCTCCAGTTTGTTTGTTTATTAGCTTGTTTTTTTTGAACAGGGTTTCAGTATATTGCTTAGACTGGCCTTGAATTTCTGCTGCCTCAGCCCCTCCAGTGGCTGGGACTCTACAGATTGGCCACTGTGTCTGGCTCACTGTGTTTTCTGGATTTGTGAAATGTTAGCTTAATGTGTAGTTTTCTGTCTGCCTGCCCACCCCTGGTCTGTCTGTCTCTCTCTCCTTGTAGATTTCACTCACTTTATTATTATTATTTTAGATTTTTTAATGTATTTTATGTATCTGTCTGAATACCAGAAGAGGACATCAGGTTCCACTAGACAGTTGTGAGCTGCCATGGGTGATGGGAATTGAACTCAGGACGCCAGGAAAAACAGCCAGTGCTCTTAACACTGCCCCTGCACTCCTTTTAAAATTATGCTACTGTTGTTTTAATGTGTTTCTAGATGGAGTGGAGATAAATATGTGTGGTTCCACTGGATGAACTGGAAGGAGGGGTGTGTGTGTGTGTGTGTGTGTGTGTGTGTGTGTGTGTGTGTGTGCATACACACACCTGTGTACACACGCTTGCATGTGTATGCTGTCTTTTTTTATTTTTTATTATTGGTTTGTTTTTTTTTTTTTTTTTGATGGTATGCACCTGCTTGCCTCTGGTCCATGCTTTTTGTTTGTTAGTTTTTAACATGGATCCTGGGGATCAAACCCAGGTCTTCTTGCTAAAAAGATAAATACTTTATTAGTTTAGATATCACCTCAGCCCTATTTTGTTTTGCTTTTCAAATACCTTCTCCTCCTTTTCTTTTTTAAGTCTACATTCATCTGGGAATGCTAACATTTAAAAATTCACAGATCATTGACTTTTTTGAGTACTCACTTATTCTCTCTGAATACAACTTTTTTTTTTTTTTTTTTTTTTTTTTTTGGTTTTTTGAGACAGGGTTTCTCTGTGTAGCTTTGCACCTTTCCTGGAACTCGCTTTGTAGACCAGGCTGGCCTCGAACTCACAGAGATCCGCCTGACTCTGCCTCCCAAGTGCTGGGATTAAAGGCATGCGCCACCACCACCTGGCGAATACAGCTATTTTAAATAGGATTTTACATTGTGCTAGGTAGATTTTAAAGACACACACACAAAAAAAATCCAAATATATTAATTTGATTTCTAATAAACTTTAATTTTCAAAACAGTTGATTTTCATAGACTCGGGAAATTTGGATGGTTTTCTTGTTTTCCGTTTTCTTTTCTTTCTTCCTTCCTTTTTTCCTTAGTAGGAAACTGTTTTGGCTCTTAGACACCCTAAATACATATTACATTGCCTATGGAGGAGTCATGCTTCTAATTTAAATATCAATGGAAAAGGCTTTTGTAAGCGGATGGTTCTCTCCTGCCCGGCAGTTCCCAAATAACCATTCAGAGGCTTATATTACTAATAAGTGTTTGGCTGCTGGCTCAGGTTTATTACTGGCTAGTTCTTCAACCTAAATTAACCCATTTCTGTGATCTCTGTTTTGCCACATGGCTGTGGCGTTACTGGTCTGATAGCATGTTGTTCCTTGTGCAGCTGGCTGGCTGGTTGACTGGCGTCTCCCAGACTCTGCCCTTCTTCTCCTGTATCTCTGCTTGGATTTCCTGCCTGGCTCTATCCTGTCTTGCCATAGACCAAAGCAGCTTTATTTATCGGTCAGTGAGATCAGCACATAATCACAACATGCAGAAAGACATCCCACAGCAGGCTTTAATTTCTCTTACTTGCAGTTAAATAGGACTTACTTTCTACTGCATAATAGCTAGGGGGCAGCCTCGCCTCTGTAACTGTCATCTAGAATACTTTGGGGATAATTTCAGAATATTGGGACTACACTATACAATATCTACTGTTTTATTTCTTTTTTAAAAAAATATTATTTGCACTGCAATTTTCATGTTGCAAATAGTTTGCAACATGAAAATTGCAGTGCAAATCTACTGATGTGTAGATTTGTATAAAAATGATTGAGGTGATATGGGAACACTTATGTCTAAATATCGCTTTTTTTTATAGTAAAGCCATTTGCAAATGAAGAAGAATATAAGAAAACTGAAGAAATAGTTCAAAAGTTTCAAAATGGAGTTGGTGAGAAATTGCATCAGAAATTACTTGAAAGGGCTAAAGGAAAAAGAAACTGGGTATTTATTTTATATATTTATAATTGGAAACTTGATATTTAAAGAATTTAGAATGTATATAGCTTTCATATTTAAATTATTGCCTAAAGTGCTTGGAGTCACTGTCATTGTGATCACAAAAGAATGATTCACATCATTGGAGAGCATTTGTTTATAAGTGAGCCTTTGTCTTACCTGAGAATGGGTTAAAATGCAGATTTCCTGGAATGTGTAATCTTTGACTCAGTAAGTCCATCATGAGGCCCAGAAATCCTTATTTTAATTCACACTCTGTGTGGTATATGCTTTGGCCAATATTGGTCATGGGATCTAGAGTTACACATGCTGGGCAAACTCTCCACCACCGAGCCATCTCCTCACCCATCGGTGTGGTTCGGATGCCGGTGAATTTAAACAGCACTGGAGAAGTGGGAAGCAGCTGGACATATGCTGAGGTAGACAGACTGAAGGAGAAGCTGCTGGGATCCCCAGGCCCCCCTTTGCCAGCAGCATTCTCCTCTGACTTCTGAGCTCAACCACTTCTCAGTGTATGAGTCAGAATTAGAATTAGAAGAATTTTCAGAATTAAAAGGCATTGCCTTAGCTGAAGCTAATGATGGTAACTTACCATTTTAAAGAGTAATGTGTCTGGTTTTTGATGACATTGATCCTTCTGCTGAAAAAGTAACATTTCCTGCTTCCAGATTCCTTTGTTCTCGATTTTGAGTCCTGGGGAGGTTTTAACTAAAGTGGGGTAAAGGTAAAGAGGTTGTTGCTCTGCTTATATTCGTTTTTCTCTGGTCTGTTTCTGGGTTACCAACTACAGTTTGTACCATCATTTAAAAAAACAAAAACCTCCAGGGAAACTGATAAGATCTAGTGTCTACTCTCTTGGTAAGAATTCAGCTACTTGCTGTGAAAGGGGGCACATAAAAAGGACTATTAGAGAAAGGTGTAAGTTAATTTGAAGCACACTGAAGTCTTGCATTTCTAGCTAGAATTTCAGATTTTGTTTGGTAAAGGAACATTATAAATGGCTTACTAGCTGTGATCATTAAGTGAGGTTTCAGGGAATGTCTGTTACACTCTAGGAGCCACCTAAGTACCTTGTTGATAGTGTAATTAAACCAACTAATATTTAGGAGCTTGTAGTTCTAAAGTGGGAGGGAACGAGAAAGGAAGGGCGGGTATTACGGTAGGGTTTTCAGTCTCTATGATGACTTCAGATGTTGTTTTGAACATGGAATAAAAAGGAACAAATGCAGCATGCTTTCTTTACTTGCTGGCAGTTACATGTTCAGATATTTTGAAGAACCAGTGTTCTTAATTTCTTTTAGCTGGAGGAGTGGTGGCTCAATGTTGCCTACCTGGATGTGCGTATGCCATCCCAGCTCAATGTGAACTTTGTGGGTCCTTCTCCGCATTTTGAACACTGCTGGCCTGCAAGGGAAGGCACTCAGTTAGAAAGAGGAAGTATAATTCTTTGGCACAACTTGAACTACTGGCAGCTGCTAAGAAGGTAAGAGTGCTAAGTGCCCTGGGCATGGACTGAGCCGTGAGGGTAGGGCACTCAGGGCCCTGGGCATGGACTGAGCCGTGAGGGTAGGGCACTCAGGGCCCTGGGCATGGGCTGAGCCGTGAAGGTAGGGCACTCAGGGCCCTGGGCATGGGCTGAGCCGTGAGGGTAGGGCACTCAGGGCCCTGGGCATGGGCTGAGCCGTGAGGGTAGGGCACTCAGGGCCCTGGGCATGGGCTGAGCTGTGAAGGTAGGGCACTCAGGGCCCTGGGCATGGGCTGAGCCATGAAGGTAGGGCACTCAGGGCCCTGGGCATGGGCTGAGCCGTGAGGGTAGGGCACTCAGGGCCCTGGGCATGGGCTGAGCCGTGAAGGTAGGGCACTCAGGGCCCTGGGCATGGGCTGAGCCATGAGGGTAGGGCACTCAGGGCCCTGGCACGGGCTGAGCTTGGGCTTGCCCATTGTGGGAAATAAGCAAATGCTGTCAACCTGAGTTATTCAGTGAAGGATTATATAGTCGTGATGGCTTTATAGTGAGTTTTAACAATGACTTTTTGATCAAAATGCTTTTTTAATAGAGAAAAATTGCCTGTACACAAATCTGGAAATACTCCTCTAGACATGAACCAATTCCGAATGTTGTTTTCTACCTGCAAGATTCCGGGAGTTGCTAGAGATTCAATTATGAGTTATTTTAGGACTGGTAAGTAAAAAACATAGGACATAGGTAATTTCTTTTTTTTTTTTTTGGAAAAGCATTGGGACTTGGGGAGTTTTGCTATGATTTCTAATATACTATTTTAGATAATTGGGTTTTCATAAATTTATCAGAAACTTTCTGTGAAACTCTCTTTCTTCCATTACTCGCTCACTAATATTCTTGATGACTTTAGCTTCTAGTTATGTGTTATCCTCTCATTTCCTAAATTAGAACCTTAATTTCTACTCCTTAGTAAAGCCTTTTTCCTACAGACATGTCCCAGACCCTGTCAGCTCACAACTCCATCAGCCCAGATGTTGCAGTTTCCACTGTCACTTGGGTCACCTGTGGAACACCCACATAAGTCCATCAGTGTTCATGTGACCGTGTTTATGTCCACGTTGTGATGTACAGTCCCCTGGCCTTACTGTTCTACACAACTGTATTCTTCCCTGTCCTGAGGCCCATAGCATCTTGCTGTAATTGTCAGTTTATTCTTTTTCTTAAAGACAGGACTGCTTCTGGCCTTCCTGCCTCTTTCTCAGCTAGTTAACTGTTTTCTTATTTTTAACAAATACAGAAAAATTTGATCTTCAACCTAAGGTTGACCAACAGCTGGGAGAATCCTTTAGAGATGCCGTGTCCCAGTCTCCTGCAAGGAGGTCAGGGTTGTCAGTCAGTTGCCCTGGAGATGAGGTTATGCTGAACTAATCATGGGTTCTTAGAAGAAGAACAGAGATGGCAGCACAGACAGATTGTGATCTTCCCTGGATGGCTTTCAAGATGGAGAAGGGGACTCCTGAGCTGAGGAGCAAGAAAATAGCCTCTGTCTCTACAGGAGGGAACAAAGCCACACCTTCATTTATCATAGAGAAACATACTTCAGATTCGTTCTTCAAACCCCTGAGATCATAAAATTGTGTTGTTTCAAGTCACTTGGTGATTTTTTCAGCCCACCCTGCTTCCTTGTAGTACATTTTAGCACACTTGTGCACTTCACGTACCTTTTGGAAAAGTCGATGAACAAGAAGCTAGAGTGTAGCTCAGTGATAAAGCATTGGTCCGCACAGGTGAGGCCCTGAACACAACCCACAGTACCACAGAGAGAGCAAACGAGAACAAACCCTGACCAACTTTGCTGGTCCTCAGGACACTGCTGTGTGTGTTAGGTCCCCTCCTTTTGCCTCTCCGCTGTCTGTTCCTCTCTTTCTCCACTGCGTCACCAGCTTCCTTGCTTTAGCAAATTGCTCCAATTTGTGTCATCTCTCATACTAAAAGGAAAAACTTGTTTTTTTCCTACAAGTACCACATCATAGTTAAAACCATCATAAAACCCTGCAAAGCATGATGATGCAGGCCTGTCATCTGGTATCCTGGAGACTGAGACAGGGTTGGGAGTTCCAGGCGAGCCTGGGTTACATAATGGAACCTTGTCTCAAAAACCACAAACCAACCAACGTGATACCTCCATTAGGTGGTTCTCACCAGAACCACTTTCATTACCTAATAACGGATCTGGCTATGTTACCTTTTTATCCACTGATCCATTCATATAGCCCCTGGAGGGCCCTTCTTAAAGTACTACTCATATCATATTACCCTTCTACTGTATAAAACCATCTATTAGCTTTCTTTCCATCATGCTTAACACTGGGAGCCCCTTCTGAGTCACAGATGGCCTCCCTCAGCCTGACCTCAGCTGAAGGTTGACTGAGCTTTCTTCCTTAAGCAAACCAGTTCACTTTTGTCCTAATACCTCTGCAGTTACTGTTCCCTCTGCCTGGCTCTCTCTGCAGAGTTTCCATGGCCCACTTTCTCATCTCACTCAGATCTCTGTTCACATATCGTCATAAGTTCCTGTCACACATTCTTCCAACTATTTATTGGTTAAATGGGTATGGGGTTTATTTTCTTCTTCTTTTCAAGCCATAAGTTTTGCAAAGGATGTCAGTAGGTGATGGTAATAAAGGGTATCTATGGTAAACGTCAAAGGATCTGGGGATGTTTGAAGGGGTCAGAGGGAAGAAATGGCCTGGAAATATCCCGAGGAGGAAAAATACCTATCTCCTCGGCCCTGAGGAAGTAGGGTGTAAGAGGAAGGACTGAGGCTGACAAGAGGTGGTCTAGCAGTGAATCAGTAAAGCAGTGAGTAAATTCCAACCAGTTAACTTGCTCCAGTGGTACTGTGTGTCTTGTCTTTCATCTCTCTTCACTCTCCTGCCTGAGAGACAAGGAGCAGGGACATACTCTTCCCTGACTCTCGGGCATGATGATTTTCTCTACCGAAAACTTTCCCTGAGGAATTGTTGCTAGATAGTGCTGCAGTTAAAGTGTCTCCCCTTCAAGTACCGAACGCTCCCGGGCCGGTGTTACAAGCCCCCTTCACTTTGCAATTAGCGGAGAGATTTGGATGGTTTAGGGTGGTGTAGCTATAGGCAATAGCAGTTGAATTATCTGATGAGAAATTAACATTGAATAATCTCACAGAGAAAGTTGTTCTCTCAAGGGGTTCTTCAGGACTCCTCAGGACCCCTTCCCCCTTCCCAGTCCTTTATCTTAACTAAGACTTAAAAATTCCTATAGCACAGCGGTGTTTCTCACAGTACACAAATACTTGAACTTGAGTTTAAGATTCACATGGACACATTTCAAGAGTATGCATTTCTGTTCTAGGAACTGAAATTCTGTTACCTTGTGATTTCTTCCCTATGGTTATAGGATCACACTTGGTCTTGGCTCGGGCATAAGCAGGCTGTAACTATAGCCTTGAAGTTTTTCTTAAATTGTGTTTTCTAGCAAATAAGTATAAGTATAAAAGTTGTATACTGTACATATTAATGAACTGCCATATGATGTTAATGCATGTGTTCATTGTAAAGTCAGGTTAGACATGCCTGTCTCCTCAAACATCTGTTATTTCTTTATGGCAAACCAAAGTCCTTTCTCCCAGCATTTTGAAGTGTGCAGTTCACGGTCATGTGTCTGATTACCTTGCTGAGGAGTAGCAGAGCAGAATTTACCCTTGTCTCACACAGCTCCATGCTGATTACAGTCTCCTCATCTTCCCTCTTCTATGAGAACGCTGTCCAGGCGGTACATTTTATATCACGCACACACAAACGCATATACACAAACACGCACAATAAAAAACTATGAGAGGAATTATATTCTGTTGTCTGAATGTAGCTTTACTGAGTCTGTTTTCTGTGTCTTTTCCAGAGAGTGAAGGCCACTGTCCAACCCACATTGCTGTGCTGTGTCAAGGCAGAGCTTTTGTCTTTGACGTGCTGCATGAAGGAAGTTTGATCACCCCACCAGAGCTCCTCAGGTTTTTAAACTACCTCTAAAGGAATTAGGCATCGTAACTAACTTCGTCTCGGACACTTCTGTGCACATGTAAATGTACTCTGTGTCCTGACCCTGCCTTCACTGCACCTTGCCTCCCTGTCAGCACTCCATTTCCATACAACTCTCTTCCATGTTCATGACTTTCGTTGTCACTGAGTTTGACCAGGGCTGTCTGGGCTCAGCAGTGGGTACACAGTGAAGACCACAGCTTCCCTTCTCTGAGAATCTGTCAGAAGTCAGTTGTCTTAGTTACTTCCTAGGCTGTTGCCAATAAAGAGACACCATGTCTAAGGCAACCTGTAGAAGAGAGCATTGAATTGGAGGCTTGCTTACAGTTTGAGAGGGTCAGTGCGTTGTCATGTGGTGGGGAGCATGGATGGGGCAGGGGCATGGTTCTGGAGAAGTATCTGAGAGCTCACATCTGATCACAAGTTACAGGCTGAGAGAAAGACTGGGTCTGGCATGGTCTTTTGAAACCACAAAGCCTAGTGACACACCTCCTCCCACAAGGTCACACCTCCTAATTCTTCCTAAACAGTTCCACTAACTGGGTACCAAGCATTCAAATATATGAGTCTATGAAGCCATTCTCATTTAAACCACCACAGCAATAGTTCAGTAATAAGGCCCCTGAGCCCCTCACCCATTAATGGCTGCCTGTTGGCAGGCCCAGTACCAATAACCACAGCTGCTGTAAGTTCATGACTGGAATGGTGGCTGTGTTGCAGTTAGCCGATGGTATGTTGTGGCCCTTCTCCCTGTCTTCCAGCTTTTACATTCCTTCCTTTCTCCATTTTCCATGAGCCTTACAGGGAGTAGTATAAATGTCTTGTTTAGGGCTGAGCCCTCAGCCATTGCTTACTCTTAACATACTGGCAAGCCCTGAGTCTCTGCATTCACTGCCATTCGCTGTAGAGAAGCTTCTCTGATTAAGACTAGCATTTGTCTATGGGTCTAAGCATAGATACTTATGAGACAGTTTGACATTTTACTAAGCAGCAGTACTAAGTGCTTCACAGGGCCTCATGTAGCCGCTAGGGCCTGTGTGTTTCCAAGCACGTGTTTTTGACTGGGTCACCAGTGCTAGGTATGGATTCAGATCCAGTATGACAGCAGTTGTTTACCCCTGTGACAGTCAGACCTGTATTACACAGGTAGGTACATGGTATTGTAGTTCATAGAGTCTGTAGCTTGGTGAGACTGTTGATGCTTTTCCTCCCCCAGCAGCCTGCAGAGCACCTTTCAGCACTTTTGAGAGCTAGCCAGCGGGGGTGGGGAGGAGGGGGTGCGGGGGGGGGGGGGGAGGTGTATTTCAGTTCCAGCTTGATCCCTCTGTTTTGCCTTCAAGGTCTGTGGTGTCTTTCGCTGTAGGATCTTATCTGGTTCTGGTTGGTAACTGTCTTGGTTAGGGTTTCTGTGCTATAATAAAACAGCATAAGCAAAAGCAACTCCATGAAAAAAATGGTTTATTTCAGCTTCTGTGTCCTGATCACAGTCCTTCATGAAGAGAAGTCGGGGTGGGTACTCAAGGCAGGAACCTGGAGGCAGGAGCTGATGCAGAGGCCATGGAGGAGCTCTGCTTACTGGCTTGCTTCTTATGGCTTCCTCAGCCTGCTTTCTTATAGAACACAGGACCACCTACTAAGGAGTAGTACCACCCACAGTGGGCTGGACCTCCCATATCAATCACTAAGAAAATGCACCTCGGCTTATCCTACAGGTCAGTCTGGTTGGGGCATTTTCTCAGTTATTGTTTCTTCTCAAAGGACTCTGACTTGTGTCAAGATGAACTAAAACTGTCCAGCACAGCAACCCAGAGGAAGAGCAAGAGACTGTATTTTTGGGGGCTGGGGCGGTTCTGGGACCTCCCTGAACAACAGCTCCCCTAGAAGTACCCCACACCTCTCACTGGAACTTCTAGTCAGTGACCTGATGCTTCTAAAACCAGTATTATGTAGCCTGTGGGGTATCTCCCTTCAAATTCATTTTTGTGTTTTTAATTTGGTTACAAGATAATAGGATTCTTTTATTTTATTTTATTTATTTTATAATTTAATTTAATTTTACATATCAGCCACGGATTCCCTTGTTCTCCCCCCCCCCCGCCTTCCCCCCAGCCCACCCCCCATTCCCATCTCCTCCAGGGCAAAGACTCCCCTGAGGATTGAGTTCAACCTGGTAGATTCAGTCCAGGCAGGTCCAGTCCCCTCCTCCCAGGCTGAGCCAAGTGTCCCTGTATAAGCCACAGGTTTCAAACAGCCAACTCATGCACTGAGTACAGGACCCGGTCCCACTGCCTGGATGCCTCCCAAACAGTTCAAGCTAATCAACTGTCTCACTTATCCAGAGGGCCTGATCCAGTTGGGGGCTCCTCAGCTATTGGTTCGTAGTTCATGTGTTTCCATTCGTTTGGCTATTTGTCCCTGTGCTTTATCCAACCTTGTTCTCAACAATTCTCGCTCATATAAACCCTCCTCTTTCTCGCCAATTGAACTCCTGGAGCTCCACCTGGGGCCTGGCTGTGGATCTCTGCATCCGGTTCCCTCAGTCATTGGATGCGGTTTCTAGAATGCTCAATCATACCACAAGGGCTGTTGCTCACCTATGTTCATATCAGCATTGTTTGTAATAGCCAGAACCTGGAAACAACCTAGATGCCCTTCAGCTGAAGAACAGATAAATAAAATGTGGTACATATACACAATGGAATACTACTCAGCAGAAAAAAACGACATCATGAGGTTTGCAGGCAAATAGATGGATCTAGAAAAAATCATCCTGAGTGAGATAACCCAGACTCAGAAAGACAAACATGGTATGTACTCACTTATAGGAGGATACTAGATGTAGAACAAGGATGACTGGGCTGCTACTCACATCACCAGGGAGGCTACCTAGAAAACAGGACCCTAAGAAAGACACAGGGATCGCCCAATGACAGAGAAATGGATGAGATCTACATGAACAGCCTGGACATGAGTGGGAGTAATGAAGGGCAAGGGTCAAGAGAAAGAGAGCTTGGGGGAGCGGGAGATCCCAGCTGGATCAACAACAGAGAGGGAGAACAAGGAAAAAGAGACCATGGTAAATGAAGACCACATGGGAACAGGAAGAAGCAAAGTGCTAGAGAGGCCCACAGAAATCCACAAAGATACCCACACAACAGACTGCTGGCAATGGTCGAGAGACAGCCCGAACTGACCTGCTCTGGTGATGGGATGGTCAAGATAATAGGATTCTATGGCTTTTTCATACTTGCTTTTTAAAAATAGCTTTATTTTGTGAAATTAAGATATAAGTATGTCATTTTCCCTTTTCTCCCTCCAACTCTTCCCATGTGTACACACTCCCCCCTTGCTCATTTTCAAATTCATGACCTCTGTTTCTTTAATTGTACACACACACACACACACACACACACACACACACACACACACACACACGAGTGTGCGCGCACACACATGCATTTGTTTTAGTTAGCCAGTCCTCTTGTGTCCCCTGCCTCTCCTGTTTAAACCTTTGTGCCTTGTATTACTCCCGTCTACTTTCCTACACTGTGGTACTAGTACACGGGCCTGTCCTTGCAGCAGGAGGATCAGGGTTAAGGCATTCAAGATCATCCTGGCCTTAGCCATCTCCTGACCCACGGGAAGTATCTGAGGAGACTGTCTCAGACTGCTGTATTGATATCCTTAGGTCTCAAGCTCTTGCTTGGGTTAAAACAAAAACAAAAATAAAACAAGTGTTCAGAATTGCCTTTCTTTAAAATGGCATGTTATAAAGTAAGAGTTTCATACTTACTGTTCTTAAAAATACCTACTTTTAATTTTTCAATTTTACAAGTATATATGTGTAAGTTCTAGTTGGAGGAAAGGGAAACATTTCATATATTACCAATCCCATCTCCTACCCCAGTAACTATGGTTACTGGTTAGTGCGTGTACTTCATCCTTCCAGATCAATTGTGGTAAGTTTATGTGTGCTGTGTATATTATTATGTGCCGTTTACGGTATTACAGAAAGCTTCAGAACATAAAGAGACTCAATCACAAGATGAAACCTCAACATGCTCAGCTCCTGACTTCTTCAGTTATGAATATCATCACCTTCTCAACTATACCTTAGTTTGTATTGGCTTATGAAGAAGGGTTTCATCGTGACATTTTTCAAGCAAAGTTTGTTTGTGTTTCTCTTTCCCAGTCTTCCTTCTTCTTTCCCGGTCTCCTTTTCCTCACTCCCAGCAGACTCCTTTCAGCTGTCACAGCACATGTGACCTTTGTCTGCTCCCACCTTCTCTGCACCCACACACCCACTCCTCTCACAGTCTGTCGGTCCATCTAGCCGTGTTCTGTTCTTCCAGTTCCCCGCGGGTAACCGAAGCAGATCTCAGACAGTGTGTGTAAAAACTTAGTGACTTACTCTGGATTCCTTTAGTGTAAATATTGTAGTATGCTTCTCTAAAATGTAAATGTGTAAAATATACATGTACTAACATAACACATTCAGTGGCTTATCTCATAAATTAACAATAGTCCTTTAGTATATTAATCTATAAGTATTTCAAATTTCCTAAATGATTTCATAAATGTTGAGTTCTATATATTTGTATGTAATTTAAATGACTTTAAAAATTTATATATTTGCATGTGTTAAATCTGTGTATATGGAAGCATGTACTTGTGCCTCTGGTGTGTGTATGTGTGTGTGTGTGTGTGTGTGTGGCTGAACTCCAGATTCTTCACCCTCTTTTTTGAGAGAGGGTCTCTTACTGTTCCCAGTGCTCTGTGATTGGCTAGACTGGCCGGCCAATAAGCTTCAGGAATCTACTGTCACTCCGCTCCCCCACTGCCACCCCAGATCTGGGTTTACAGGCAAGTGTTACCTTGCCTAGTTTTACACATGGATGCTGGGGCCTGAGCTCAGACCCTTACACTTACACAGTAAGCACAGGTGGAGTTGTCTCTCAGACCCTTAAATGATTTATTTTTACTAAATAGTACAAACAAATAGAAAAATACACCCAGAGTATAGCTCAACACCCATATACTGTACATCACCACAGAGGTCAAAATAGAGTAATGAAAGGCTACTAGGAAAACCCTTTTGCAAGGTTTAGGTGTCTGGGTTGTACTGGAGAGGATTTGGTGAGTTTCACTCAACTTCCATAGACAAGGACAGGTGCTCAGCACAGTTCTACTGATAAGCATACAAACTGGTAATGAATGCTGTGGTTCTCTACATGGGAGCTCTTTCTTGGGTTTATGTGTTCTACACACAATAGGAGATTGAGTCTTCTGCTCTATTAGAGCATTTTTTAAGTAACTAATCCTTAATTTGAATGCAATCCAACTTATTAAACTTTGCCACATGAGCTCTATTTTTGTATTCTTTAATTTTTTTCCCTCTAAAATAAGTAGGAAGAGAGGCAAGGCAAGTTACTGTCTCATAGATGCAGGTGGTTTGGTAAAGAATCCTTATGTGCTCATAAAATACCATTAGTTTGAAAATAAAGCTAAAAGCCAGGCAGTGGTGGTACAGGGAAGCAGAGGCAGGTGGATATCTTGAGTTTGAGGCTAGCCTGGTCTACAGAGCGAGTTCCAGGATTGCCAGGGCTACACAGAGAAATCCTGTCTTGAAAATCAAAATAAAAAGAAAGAAAATAAAGAGAAATTTTGGTTGCAAGCAAAGCATTTTTTCATCAGTGTTACAGATACAAATAAACAGAGGAACCTGTGCCCACCATTTTTGAATGATGACATCACAAATAAAGGATGCACTGGTGGTGCTTAATGACATTTATTAAGCTACAATAATCTTTTGAGTAATCCCTGGGTATTTTTAAGTTGTAGCTTCTTTGCATGTGCTGTGAGGGAGAGGGTGAAAACTGAAACTGCTATATGTTTAAAGATAGATGAAACACTCCATCCGCATCCAGTGGAGTCTTTAGACAACATGAGTTTCCTTTCTTTTCCTTTTCTTTTTCTCTTTGTGATGTGATCTTGCTGTATTGTCCAGGCTTGCCATACTGCCCTGCCTTCTGACGTGCTTGAATTACAGGCCATGGGCCACCACACATAGCTAACTCTTTAACATGTAATTAATTATCAGCATTATACAATGATTAGTACTTATGAAAGCATTTAAAATATATTACTTCTGTTTCTGGGTAAAACACAAATAAGTGAGCACACAGTAAGCTCTCTGCTTTTATATATGTGTACACAATTTTTAATCACAGGTTTAGAACAGCTATAAGATTAACTACCAAAATGCTTTTCAAGTTCTCTCATAGAGAAGGTATTTATTTATATGAACCCTGGAAATGCACATGTTTTCAAAGTTTAAATGATATCATCTAAGCTTATTTTTAAATATAAATTATTGTCCATTATACTTTTTGTGTACGTAGAATATATAATCACTTTTTAAGTACATATATATATAATAAATATTAGTGTGTGTGTGTTTGTGTAAGACCTCTGTAATCCTATGTGTCCTGTCCATGCTCTTCTTGAGTATGCTTCTTTTTTAATCTTCGTAAGACAACTGACGTATATCCACAAGAAGTGCTGGAGTGAACCCGCGGGACCCGGCGTAGCAGCGTTAACCAGTGAGGAGCGAACGCGATGGGCGGAGGTACTAATCTGTGGTTTTCTTCTTTTCATATGCCAACTTTATTTTTCGTTTTTATTGTTGAGAATTTTAAATAGTGTATTTTTATCATACAACTCCTCCCAGATCCTCCTCCCCTTTCTAGCCACCCAACTTCATGTTTTTTCTCTCTTAAAAACAAAAGAAAAAAGCCACTAAAATCCCAGAGTCAGATTTGTGTTGGCCTTTTGAGCACGAGGCCTGCCTGGAGTGCGGCTGGTTTCTTCCATTGAAGAACACTGCCTTTCCCTCTCCCAGCAGCTGTCATTTGTGAATGAGTGTGGCCTCTGTGCCCACATCCCCTCCTTCATGTTGGGATTTCATGTGGCTTGAGGTTGTGCAGGTCCTGTGCATGCTGTCACAGTCTGAGTTCATATGTGATCTGCCCTGTTGTGTCTGGAAAATGCTGTTTCCTAACAGCACTGCTAGTTCTTACAGTCTTTCCCCCACCACCCCCTTCTACATAGATCCCCGAGCCTTGGAGGGAAGAGTGTGACAGGAAATCCCATTACCACCCCCTTCTACATAGATCCCCGAGCCTAGAAGGGAAGAGTGTGATGGAGACATCCCATTACCACCCCTTCTACATAGATCCCCGAGCCTTGAAGGGAAGAGTGTGATGGAGACATCCCATTACCACCCCTTCTACATAGATCCCCGAGCCTTGAAGGGAAGAGTGTGACAGGAACATCCCATTCAGGGCTGAGTACTCTAAGTTTCTCACTCTCTGAACATTGTCCATTTGTGAGCCTCTGTGTTAATTATAGTCTTATGCTGCTCTTAATAGACTTTCTCGAACTCTTGATATTTTCTAGATGTATTGTATTTGAATTGTAATATCCAGTCATCTCCTTGCCCTTTAGGCCAGAGAATATCTGATTGGTCTTGATCCAGAGAACTTGACTTTATTAGAAAAAATTCAAACCAGTTTATTTGTGTATTCCATAGAAGACACCAGTCCACATGTAACCCCAGAAGATTTTTCTCAGGTAACTTTCTTGTTCTGTTATCTTTCTACACAGTTTTCTGGAGGATTTTTATTATCTGTTGAACATGAGAGTTTTTTTTTTTTTAAATCAGGGTCTTAGAAATTTTCTCAGCTATAAACTACATTATGTATTAAATTGAATCTCATACATATTGAATAGAACTCTGTAAATACTTGATGTTTAAGTCTGTTTAGATGTATTTTGAATCTTATTTAAAGAAGTATGGATATTTGCATGCATATCAGTGTTTTCTAACCTTTTCCGTCAATTGATTACATAAAATATTTGCATGGAACACTGAGGCGAATTAACTTCTCTTTCCAAAGGTGATGTATGGCTCTACCTGTAACCCACAGCAGTGTACATGCACCAATTGGGATGGGTTCTATCCTAAGAATTATATCACTCTTGCAAGGAATTGATTATGTCATTCAGATTTACTGAACACACTGACTGTTTAAGTGAGTTTAAGGGTAAATGTGGCTTGTTTATATTTTTTATTTCCCAACCCTGGGTAATGCTTTTACAAAATTCCTAGGAAGCGTAGTCAACCATATTAATAAAGCCTTTTGGAAGAATTTGTCATTTTATAATACAGTCATCAGTGTTAAATTATAGGGGACAAATCCAGGATTAAAAATCTTGTAGTAAGAAACCAGTTTTTATTTCAGAGAGGAGGAAATTGCTGAAGTACCATTTAAGGAATAATTCAGTGTTGCTCTAACCATAGTCTGCACTTGGAAATGCAGATTGTAGTCCACTGTAGTTAAATACACACACACACACACACACACACACACACACACACACACACACACACACACACATATACACATGCCTGTACACACATTTAATTAAAGTTTCATAAAACAATGATTACTTTTATGTCTGTCATGTACTCTGCTATTTTTATTCTGTTTTATTGTCTGTAAGGAATATTATTTATGCTGCTATAAATTGTTTCATGACTCATTAGTGTGCAGAGTCTACAGTTTGAAAACAGTTGTCTTAGTGGCATATGAATTGTTAAGACATTTTACTCTGAACTTACTAGGCTTCTTATACTACCCAAGTTTCAAAACACTTCTGCTTTTAATTATGTGAATGTTCTGGGAACATCAATGAATAATGTATTAGCATTCTATTTTTCTGGTTAGATTTTCATAACTTGAGATTTAAAAAGTACGTAAAGCCAGACTCAGAATTATTATCTGTTGAATTTTAACAAAACTGCCATTTTATTAAATTTGGTTGACTTAAGAATAAAAAGTGAAATGATATATATTCTTAAGTCTACTTGCAAACTAATGTCAAAACACTTTTAATTTGGAAAAATAAAATGTGTTTTAGGTCTTCGAAATGCTTCTTGCTGGAGATCCAGCAGTACGCTGGGGTGACAAGTCCTATAATTTGATTTCCTTTGCTAATGGAGTATTTGGCTGTTGTTGTGATGTGAGTATGTTGTTACCAGGGTGCTAACCCCCCCACTTTAATTTCTTAAGTTAATTTGAGGTAGTAAACTACAAATACTTGTGGTGTAGTGCAAGTAAACACTTTTTTTAGTTTTATGTCATAATAAAAGGTTTAGGTCTGAATTGTCAGTGAAAGCAGAACATAGATCAAGTTTTTTTTTTTTTTTTTTTTTTTTTTTTTTTTTCTGCTGTAGGCTAACAGTTTGGAGCATGCAAAAAGGATTTTGAATGTAATTTTTTTTTTTGCAGTGTAATATCTTAAAACCTGTTGTTATCAAATAGCTCTCCCCAGGGGAAAGCACACCTGTTGATGGTCTAGTACCAAATGGTCATCCCTGAAAATATACAAGTAGCATTACACAGGCAGAGCAGGTTTTATTTAGAAATACACACACACACACACACACACACACACACACACACACACACACACACACACGGACATATGCATATAACACCATCATGAAAAAAGAGGCTATGAATTCCAGAGAGAGCAGGGAGGGGTATATGGGAGGGTTTAGAAGGGGGAAATGGTGTAATAATATTATAATCTCAAAAGGAAAAAAAATAAATATTTTTAGAAAGTAGTGAAAAAAATTGAAAACATTTTCTTGCTAAAATTCATACCCTAATTTGAAAGATACCGTTTGGTATTATATACATGCTCTATGGTTAGGGAAAGGACTACGTAACTATTTCCTAAAATGATAGGCTCTTTGGGACACTAGACTCTGAACAGTAAAATGTCTAGAAATGGCTACCATTTTACCATTCTAAAAAAGAACTGCTTTCCTTGTTTCTCTTTCATCTTTTCCCATGGACTTGACCAGCTCTGTCTTCCTTTGGGGAAATCTGTAAACCAAGGAAACGAAACCAAACAAAGACCCCGGCGAGCCTCAGGCCTGCAGTGGGCTTTGTCTGGGGTGTGGAGGTTGAACAGAGGGTTTTGTGTGCAGGTCAGGCAAGCAATCTACACTGAGCTACAGCCCTCATCTTGTCAATGGTTTTATTAATCATTCAGTTTCCTTTGATATAATTTAATCTGGAATTAGTTTAAAAAGATGTTGGCATAGTTATATTCTTAAATATGGATAATGCAGACATAGAGTGTCCAGGTATTTTCATTATAACGGTATTTCCTCGTTTCTGCGGTTGGAGCTGCTTTCAGACTGCCCATGGGATTATTGTATCTGCGGTTGTAGGGTCACTGCAGCTCTCTTGGCTCTTGGACACCTGTGGAACTAGCTTGTTCTAATAGCTCCGGAAAAGGTCCTGAAATCCTTCTCATTGGTTGTTATTGGCTTGTGTGAAGCACATGTCCTTGGGAATCAAGTGTGCCCTCATTAGCCTGGCCTAGGCCACTGTCTAACCTTGGAACCACATGGGTAGACTCAGTCTCCTTCACCTTACCGCAGGGATATGGTGGTTGCCTAGAGAACAGTGAAGTAGCTGTTATTCCAGAAGTAGGTAGATTGTTGATAAGTAAGTGATAAAAGTAATGCAGCCCATCTTTCCCACATTGCTTAACATTGCAAGTTCTTTCTGCACTGTCTAGGCATTCTTGTAGATCTGTAATGGTGGCACCGCTTTCTAGCACTTACTTAGTGGTCCTCTCTTAGCTAGAGATGTTCATGCCCATCTCAATTGCCTTAGTCTGGTGTCCTCACCTGATTACTACACTGTTTGTTTGTTTTTTTTTTTATAATTTCAGAATATTTTCACATGACACAGGGTGCACCTGCTCGGACTCCCAGTAACCTCTGGATCGTTTACTGTTACGTAGCCCAAACTCTAAGAGCCTACTGTATGCTTTCAGTTTTGAACGCTTGTTCATTTTTTCCTTGTCTTGAAAAATAAGCAGTTCTTATTGTGTAGGAAAGAATTGTATCATTTCATCATTAGGAAGTCAGGTACTGGAAGGTGGGCATATCTTATCCATTAAATGTGAAGAAAGTAAAAAATACTGGGTCGAATTTTAATTGGACACAAACTACTCAAAATCTTATATTTTCATTTTAGCATGCTCCTTACGATGCAATGGTTATGGTGAACATTGCCCATTATGTTGATGAGAGAGTCTTAGAGACGGAAGGAAGATGGAAGGTATGTCAGAACAAGCCCATCAGCCTTTTCTGCTCATGTTTTCACGGGTATTTTAAAGTTCTCTATTTTCAGGGTTCAGAAAAAGTCCGGGAAATACCACTTCCTGAGGAGCTGGCTTTCACTGTGGATGAGAAAATACTAAGTGACATCTACCAAGCCAAAGCCCAGCACCTCGAGGGGGTAGGTTTTTAGTTTTTCTTTTAGATTAGTAATGTTTCCTCTGCCATATCTGGAAATGTGGCTATTACCCAAGCATGGCTTCATAAAATATTTTAAAATTATAACCTTAATGCCTTTAATTCTTCATGTCTGATGATTAATGCAAGTAATAATTTGATCCCCCTTTGAACTGTTCCCTTCCAGTGATTTTTCACTGCTCCCTTTAACTTTGTTAGGCGTCGGATCTCCAGGTCGCAGCACGTGCCTTTACAGCTTTTGGCAAAAAGCTCACCAAGAAGGAGGCCCTGCATCCTGACACCTTTATTCAGCTCGCACTTCAGCTCGCCTACTACAGACTTCACGGACGGTAACCATTTGTTCTCCTTTTTCATGGCTTGACTTCCCAGGGTATGGCCTTTACAGGGCCATTACTTCCCAACTCCACAGTGGATTCCCTCAGCTTTCTTTCTTTGGGGTCCATCAGTTTCTTAGAGTCTGGTCTGTGACGGTGTGTAGGTTTTCCCATTGGCTCTTTGTCATGGTGCCTTGGTACTTTTAAAGGATCATGCTTTAGGAAGGCTTTACCGTGTGAAATTGTGTGCACATTAATGGCTTACAAACGTTAGCTCCCATTCTGTGGCATGTCACTTGCTCTCTTCACAGTATCCCTTGACCCACACAGTTACATTTTGATGAGATCCAATGTATTTTCTTTTCCTTTTGTTGCTTATCAATGAAACCAATCAAATCCAAAGCAGTGAAGATTTTCCCGTATTTTTCTAGGATTTTATAATTCTTAGTTCTTACTGTGATCCATTTAAGATCATTTTTATATATCACGTAAGGAAAGAGTCTACGTTAGGATTCTTTGTAGAAACAACCTATTTTGTGTATGTCCGTGTGGTTGGGGGTTATTTAAGGGATGAAGCTTGTTATGGAAATTGGCTTATGTGGTTACAGAGGCAGTGAAGTCCCATGTTGTACTCTGCAAACTGGAGAAACAGCAAGTTGGTGCTGTGATCCAGTGTGAGTACAGATTCTTGAGAAGGATCAAAAGACATGTGGTCTAGGTCCCAGTCCAGTTCCAAAGGCTCAAGGACCAGAAGCTCCAGTTTCTGAGGGTAGGAAAAGATATATGCTCCAGCTCAACTGGTAACTGGTTTTCCTGTCCTCTGACTCTGTTTTTTCTCTTCAGTCTCTCAATAGGTTAGATGATGTCCACCCACATGGTGAGGGCAGACTTTATTACCATGTAGTCCACTGTTACAAATGCTAATGTCAGCTGGAAACACCCTCACTGTCTGGCATGTGTTCTTCCAAGGAAGATAATATATGACATTAACTCACGGGTCCAATTTCATGCCTTTCCCAGTGGCTGTCGTGTTTCCTGGCACCGTGGAAGACACTGCTTTCTAAATCTGAAGTCAGCTGATCTGCAACAAGTGGTGTTTTCCTTTCCACCTTGGGTGCTTTCCTTTCCTTCTCATGGTGCTGTGGTGTGGATGGACGTGGAGAAGTAGACATTCTCTCTTCCTTGTGTTAGCTGGGTTTTTATAGACGCCCTTATGATGCTGAGGAACTGGCCGACTGTTCCTGGTTTGTTTGTCGTGTTTTGATTGTGAGTGAGTGAACACTTTTGTCAAGTGCTTTTCCGTATCAACTGAGATGAGTGCGTGGGCCTGTTAGTGGTCTTGGCTGCCCCGTCCTGACTCTCTGTATCCCTGAATGCTGGGCTTGTTTTACCTGCCAGTGACAGTGCTGAAAGCCGTTCAGTTTCTGTGCCTTCCAGTAATGTCCTGTTCACTCTGAATCTTTCTGTTCGTGAACCTTAAGAAATAGCGAATTCCTTGGGCAGAGGAAAGCAGCATTAAACAACTTGTTTAACGAACTTTTTTGGTTTTTCAAGACAGGGTTTCTCTGTGTAGTTTTGGTGCCTGTTCTGGATCTCGTTCTGTAGATCAGGCTGTCCTCGAACTCACAGAGATCCTCCTGCCTCTGCCTCCCCAGTGCTGGGGTTAAAGGCGTGCGCCACCACTGACTGGCCTAACAAACTATTTTTATCTTCTCTCCACATCTTGAGGCCTGTAAGTCCTGTAAGTTTGTTTGTTTGTTTGTTTGACAACTTTGCAAAGCCTTGAGCAGCCTGTTTTAAAAAAATAAAAATCCGGCCGGGCGGTGGTGGCGCACGCCTTTAATCCCAGCACTCGGGAGGCAGAGCCAGGCGGATCTCTGTGAGTTCGAGGCCAGCCTGGGCTACCAAGTGAGTTCCAGGAGAGGCACAAAGCTACACAGAGAAACCCTGTCTCGAAAAACCAAAAAAAAAAATTAAAAAAAAAAAAATAAAAATCCAGCTTTTCTTAATATCTGGCTTATGTAAGACTGCCTTCCTACAAACTACTTCCTTACGGCCAGCATTGGAAATGCCAGGCAGAATGTTTGTATGCGCTTCACTTGTTGCATTTGATTGATATGTCTGTAAATCTTTAAGCATAAGAATTCCTAGAATTCCTTTCGCTGTCTTCCTCCTATTGTATTTTATTTATGAAGAAACTGGGTCATTCTGTGTAGTTTGCGTAGTTTCTTGAATCCCCAGTGTTCTCAAGTGTGGTGCTTTCTCCTGCATTTTCTGTAAACGAGTAGGGAAAGCCAGAAAATTGATGAGAATCGTTTCTTTTGTTGTTATTGCTTTTATGACCATCAGTTAATTTATTAATTCTGTTGACCTCCTGTTTCAGTTACTTGTCACCCAACACCCCACCATAAGCATTCCTTCCTGAATCTATTTTTATTGACTATTTGAAGTGGGATCTTACTGTGTTACATGTGTCCAGTGTAGCTTTCGCCTCCTGAGTATTAGGACTTCAGGCATGCCATGCCTAGCTTCCTGAATATCTTTATATACCTTCGATGACTTTTACCAAGATCCCTCTTAATTTCAGGTCACACATTGATGACACTTTAACTGCCTCTTTTTTGTCATCTTCCTCCCTCCTTTTTTGTCCTTTTGACAAAGTCTTGCTTTGTTATCCAGGCTGACTGTAGACGAGTTTCTAAACAGTCTTATTAAATAAGGAACACTGAGCCAAAAATAGGGGTGAAAGCCGTAGAGATCAGAGAAATTGGAATAGCTACCAGCTAACCTTAGCTCACCACGCCGCTGTAGCTTCCCAAGAGAGAGCTACTTCCTGTCTACCCAGGCTTTTATTGCCTTGCTGTTCTGCCCTCTCATTGGCTCTTAGCCCAGCTACCTCACTTCCTTGTCACCGCCTGTCTGTACAGGCCTCCAGATCTCTATGGTGGTATTGGGATTAAAGGCGTGTGTCACCATGCTTGGTTGTTCCCTAGTGTGTCCTTGAACACACAGAGACTCTGCTTGTCATGTGATTGGATTAAGGGTGTGTGCTACCACGGCCTGACTTTTGTTATGGATGGCTATGTCCTCTGATCTCCAGGCAAACTTTATTTATTAACGTACAAATAAAATATCACCACAGCTGATCTCAAGCTCTTAGATTCAAGTGATCCTTCAGCCTCAAGTCTTCTTAGTAGCGAGACTACTGGCGTAAGTTGGGGTGTTCAACTACTTTGTGTTTGGGGTTTTTTTTTTTTTTTTTGGTTTTTTAGAGACAGGGTTTCTCTGTGTAGCTTTGGCACCTTTCCTGGAACTCATTCTATAGCCCAGGCTGGCCTGGAACTCAACAGAGATTGGCTTGCCTCTGCCTCCTGCGTGCTGGGATTAAAAGCGTGTGCCACCACCACCCGGCTTACTTTATTTTTTTTAATAAAACACGTTTTATTGATTATTTGACAGTTTTGATTTGTAAACAATGTATCTTGAGCACATTCCCTCTTACTCCCTCTCCCGCTCTTATTTGAAAGAGATTTATCTTGGTGCCGTTGAGTCCCAGACATCCCACTCTCACCAAACCTGGTCCTCACTATCACTAACTTCCAGCAAAAGAAGAGCACTTAGTATCTAAAACTATGTCACTCATCAGTTGGAGAAACAGCTGTTTTTCTGGGGAACTACTCAGTGTTCATCATTTAACAGCGAAGAACTCTGTATGTATTCTGTGTAATAAATTACCAAAACCATAACGACTTAGAACACAAGCATTCATTGTATCATTGTCCCCATAGGTGAGTAAAACACAACACAGTTTAGCTGGTGTATGTCTCATGACCACTCATGAGTGGTCAGAGTATTATTCAGGGCCACATGTTCATCAGTCAGCTCTCCATCTGTTGGATGTAAATCCATGACCACTTACAAATTTACTAGCAAAACTCAGCTACTCCCTAAGTGCTGTCTGGAGAAATGTTCTCAGTTTTTAACTGCCTAACCCACTCCGTAGGGCGGTTCCCACCATGGTAATTGGCCTTTGCAGAGCAAGGAAGTAAAAAGGAGAACTTCTTTGTGACCTAACAGCCCTTTACTTTTGGTATCGTCCCTGCGTTAAGTGGAAGTCACTAACTCCAACACATGTTTAGAATGTGCCAAAGCATGAATAGCCAGAGGCGCAGGCCACAGGGAGCTTCTCCGAGAATGCCTGTCAGACTGGGAAGCATGCCTGATATCATCTGACAGCAGCCGAGCCTTTGAAAATAGCCTGTGTTATCAGACTGTTTTCTTGCTCTTTGGTTTTGAAAACAGCCTCTGTGGAAACTCTCAATTCCAGACTGATATGTAGGCTTAGTCTGATCAGAAAGTCACATCAGTGTGTGACTATATTTGTAATAACATCAGAACATTTTCTTCTGGTACTCTATTTTAGCCCTGGTTGCTGCTATGAAACAGCTATGACAAGATACTTTTACCATGGCCGAACAGAGACCGTACGCTCGTGTACAGTGGAGGCAATTAGGTGGTGCCAGTCAATGCAGGATCCCTCTACCAGTGTGAGTATCGGGAAGAAAAAACTCAACAGGATTGCTCTTTGAATGACTTCTTTGCTTCTATTCCCCTGGATCATTAAAACACTTTAAGGCGTTATCCCTAAAGTTTGCAAAAAATATTAATTTGCCACTGAAGTAGGCAGCAGATTTGAAAAGAAGCTCATTTGTATTATTTTCTAAGCTATACGTCTTCAGTACTGAGTTTTTCAGCACTGTTAATCTGACCAGCGTCAGTACAATGCAGAGCTCTCCAAAGACCTTCAGAACAAGGCTTTTTCATCATGTGGTTGAATGTCTAGTTTTTGTTTGAAGTCACTAGGACCAGAACTGGTTGTATGTGTTTTATTTAGAATCTTTTTTAAGTATTTAGACAGCAGTATGTTTCTTTCCCTGTTAATTTGAAATTTTGCCTGTTTTAATTTGAAGAGACATAATTATGTTAGTTTTCATAGAAATTATATTTTTAGTTTTAAAATTCAACTTTTTGTTCATTTATTAATATTACAAGTGTCTCAAAGCAATTTTCAGTACTGCTCTTTCCAAATTCAGGAAAGAAGAAAATAAAAAAATCAAGGTTTTATGGGGGAAAGAAAGGCAGTAGAATTAAGGAAAGATGGGAGCATGCATCACTGTTCTACCTCCGAATCTTTTCCCTTGACCCAGATTCTAACATTGATTATATTAGTCTTCTTTTGATGCTGTTTATTTGAGTTATACAGTTTGTTATTGATTTGATTTATTGATTTGTATTGAAAATTACCGTTCTTATTCTTGACACAGCTTCTTGAACGGCAGCAAAAGATGTTACAAGCTTTTGCAAAGCATAATAAGATGATGAAAGATTGTTCAAATGGAAAAGGTATGTAAGCTTGAATTGTTCTGTTTGAAAATTCTTTTATTGGAAGCTTTTTTTCTGACTTCAGGTTTGGGATTTCATTGCAGGATTTGACCGTCACCTTCTAGGTCTTTTGCTTGTAGCAAAAGAGGAAGGCCTCCCTGTTCCAGAGCTATTTGAGGACCCTCTTTTCTCCAGAAGGTAACTTGGGGCAGTGGGCCATCGTGTGCACATCCTGGTTCTCTCTGGGTATAAGAAGGAATGTAGCACCTACATCTGACATCTTTTCTTTGTGCCACACAGTGGAGGAGGCGGGAACTTTGTTCTTTCCACAAGTCTGGTTGGTTACTTACGAATCCAGGGAGTCGTGGTTCCCATGGTACACAATGGATACGGGTTTTTCTACCACATCCGAGACGACAGGTAAGCCTACTCCCCTTTATTCTTAGGCTAGAGTAGGAACTATAATGCATTCGTGATTTTAGTATGTGTACACTATGATTTTACTTGGGTCATCTGTCATTTACCACAGGAGTAGCCACTTTGCCACCTAGGTATTTAACATATATTGATATTTCTTTACTCTGCTTTTGAGATCCTTGTAAAATCACTCTTTAGGGGCTTTGTGCAGAAGCATATTTTCAGGATGTTTCAGTAACTATGCCATTATCTGGGAAACCTGTGTATTTTAAAAACATATTTGACCTATAAAAGGTATTTTTGGGCCAATCAAAATTTGTAGATGTATGTGGCCTTGCGTATGTGTGGGTCTACATCGGCAGACTGAGATCAGCGTGGGGCGCTTCAGATGGGATGGAGCAAATTCAGTAACAGTCTACAGGGCTTCAGTACTTCAGTTCCCAGTGCTTCGTTTTCATACATTCCCTTCAGAGAAGTGTATTATCTGCTTTCCTTTTGCATGATTTGTGCATAGTTACATAAGTGCCACCTGTCACTGTTGGCCCCTGAGACCCTGGACTGTATGTCACCATCGGATTGTTTGTGCACATTGACAGACAAATTAAAAATTTAAATTACAAGTTATACACAGATCTTGATTTTTTTCATAAAAGAGTTTGATGACCAAAGTAATAATTTAACGTGAATAAGCATTTTAGCATATTCCCTGACAAATAATAGGTTTTGCGTTATACCTAGTGGCCGGAGTTCAGGCTGCAGGTAGCTCAGCTCTCTTTTTTTTAGAAAACTACTTTCATTGGTCCTGGGAAAAACATCCATTTACTCATTTAGGAAATATTTAGTAGACGTTAACAGTATGCCTTATGTTTGGGTACTAAGGACAAAAAACAAGATTCTCCTTCTTAAAAACTTTATTTTCTACTTGGAGATAGATTGATTAATTAATGGTGAATACTGTGAAGAAAGTAACCTGTTACCGCATCAGATCGGTTAAGTAGTAGAAAGGAGAACCTTGTCCTGTGTGATCAGGACCTTGTACAGTATGGTCAGGACCTTGTCCAGGGTGGTCAGGACCTTGTCCAGGGTGGTCAGGACCTTGTCCAGGGTGGTCAGGACCTTGTCCGCTATGGCAGGACCTTGTCCAGTGTGGCAGGACTTTGTCCAGTGTGGTCAGGACCTTGTACAATGTAGTTAGGTCCCTCCCTGAAGATCAGTAACAGAACTGAGATATTAAAGATGAGGAGGAATCAAGAAGATACAGCTTCCTAGAATCTGGAGACGCTACCTAAGCCAAGCCACCATCCTGTTTCACTTACACATCCTACCCTATGAATGGTTCTCTACACTGAAGCCCTGGTGGGCCTTCTAACAATATCAATCAGCGGCTAGCAAGATGGCTCAGTGGTTACAGGTTCATGCTTCTAAGCCTGATGACTCTGCAACCCACATGATGGAAAAACTCAGATCATGTCATTCTTCACAACCTTGTAGAGGCTTCCCATTTCACTCACAGTAAAATCCAAAGTCCTGCTCTGAGACCATATGTGATCCAGCTCTTGGTTATCTTTGTGACTGTCTTTCATGATGTACATTCTAGTTTATTCTGCTCCAGCCACACTAAGCATATTCCTTGAATGTTCCATAAGCTCCAGCTTCAAGGCAAGTGCACTTATTTCTTCTGCCAAATTTCCTCTTTCTTGAGATATATGGAGGGATAACTCCCCCTTAATTCACACAAATATTTGCTCAAAGACCCCTCCTGAGAGGCCTTCCATGACCATGTAAAATGGCAATACTTTCTCAGGTGAAATACTTGGGGATTGTATCAAATTTTTTTCATCATTAAATTTGAAGATTGTATGATTTAAAGTGGCTTGACATAGCATTTTTCTTTAAATGTATTACATTCCCATTGTAAAAAAAGATATAAAATATGAAAAACAAAGTTACGTAACATTTCTATTTCATTGCACATGACAATCAATAGATAATACTTCTGTTTGGTAATATGTTTGTATCATTTTTAGTAATTTAAATCATAATTATTTTGCATCCTTTTTTTATTTCATTTTCACTAATTTCAAGCAGTTCCCACTGCCATTAACTGTGTTCTGAGATATTTTAAATTTGAATAATTTAACCTTCCATGTGAAGGACTTACTCATATAGTAAGGAATAATTTTCAGTCTTCCATGAGATAAATTTCCACAATTTGTTAATTATTTTTCTATCTTGTTTTCCCACCATTACCAGTTAGCATATATGCTATAAGTATAATACACCCTTTGTTATTTTATCATATAATTTCCAACTATACATTTTATGAAGTATTTTACTAGTTTGGTAGACAAAAGTAATTTACTTCAAAGTTTTACTTATGTAGAGAAACATTTTTTCATTGTTTATTGTCATCTATGCTTCTTTGTGAGTTGTCCAAGTATAAAAGGCTGTTTCTGTAATTTAGAAACGTAAATTTTTAAAAAAATTAATTCTTAACTACAAATAGTTAATTTTAGAAACATCTTTTTTCTTTCTTTTTTTAAATATAATTATTGATTCTTTGGGAATTTCACATCATATCCCTCAATTCTGTTCATCTCCAAGTCCCCCCATATCTGCCCCCCACCCTTGCAGTGTCACCCCAAAAAGAAATTTTTTAAAAAAAGGGAAAAAATTCAAACCAAACTAAACAAAACCTCCTCGTTCCTCCATCTCTCCTGCCTCTCCAGTGCCTCCTCATGGGAGCTGTGGTGTGTCACACGGTAGATCCATTTGCCCAGTCAGCTTTATTTGCATATGTTCACTGCAGTGAGTCACTGGTCTGCTTCAGGGCCTCTGGTTTCTGGCACACCATCATCACCGCTGGACCCTCACCAAAACTCTCAGATACCCTGCAGCCGCCCTGAGTCATGGAGATCCTGTGGGTATCGTTCCTCAGGACCTGTCCCTTCATGCACTCCAGCAGGACATAGATGAGGTAGATGTTAGGGTGGGTCAACCCAAGGTTCTGGATGTAGGCCTGGGTGGTAGCTGAGCTGGTCAGTCCAAGCCACTGGGGCCGCCCTCCTCAGGTAAAGAGAGGAGCCAGCTCTCCTAGGCCCATGCCATCAGGGCCAGTTCTCCCATGTATGAGGGGTGAGGCCATCTCTCCCAAGTGTGGGGACCAGCTCTTCTATGAGGGTTAGGGCCAGCTATCTTGCTGCAGTGTCCAGTGAGGGGCAGGGCCAGCTCTCTCAGGACTAGTGAAGGGCAGGGTTAGCTCAGCATGGCACTCATATTTCATCATGCATAGTTCCACGCACGAGCATTGGACTTCAACACAGACTCCAGCTAGTCCTCAGCAGCAGCTGGGCCTGGATGTCACCATTGCCCCAGTGGCAGCACAGGCCACTCAGATCAGTGTGTCCCCAGTGGCAGTGTGACTCTCAGACACCAGCATGGCTGCAGGTGGCAGCCCATATCTCAGGCATTTGCAAAGCCTTCGATGGTAGTAGGAGCCACGGACATCATCCCAGACCCTGGATGCAGGACGGCCACGGATCCAGACATGGCCCTCATCTGCAGCTCTGGCCCAGACGTCACCATGGCAGTGGGTAGCTGCACAGACCACTCAGACCTGTATGGTCAAAGCTGTAGTTTGGCCCTCAGATGCCATTGCGGTCTCAGATGGCTAACCAGACCCCGAGCAACTACAGGGCCCTCGGTAGCAACAGGAACCTCGGAGTCAACTCAGACCCTGGCTACTGTAGGACCATGGACCCAGACATGGTCCTTGGCAGCAGCTTGGGCCCAGACAACATTGTGGCCCCAGGTGACAGCAGGCCACCCAGATTTGCATGGTCCCAGCTACAGCATGCCTCTCAGACACCAACAAGGCCACAGGCTAGGGCCCAGACCCTGGGCTTCTGTGTGGTCTTTAGTGGCAGCATGGGCCACAGACCCCAGCTGCAGTAGGACCAGGGACCCATTCATGGCCCTTGGCAGCAGCCCTGGGCCCAGATGTCACCATGGCCGTGGGTGGCAACCAGACCACCCATATCAGCCTACTCTATCACCAACTTCACCTCTTCCATTCGGCCTCTTTCCACAGCACATGAACCATCTGCTTCTCTTTCTCTCCCATTTCTCCACCCCATATTTGCTCATCATAATGGATTCCACCTGGTGGCACCAGGCAGACCCATGGATCCTTCCCATCAGCCAGGCCTTGAGGACCCAGGCTGGCCTGTGTGTAGTTAGCACCAGCCTGAGCCGAATGGTATCAGGCAGGCCGTGGATCTTAGAAAACATTTTGATATTTCTAAATAATTGAGAATTTTGTTCACAATATAACTGGAAAATGACTCTTGAATTATTAGATTAAAATAAGGCACAACTTGAGGATTTCTGTATGTGTTACAGTATTTACTAAAAGCATGCAAAGCCAGTTTCTGTCTAAAGAGTGTAACTGAGCAGTAGCGTAACGTCCTAGCACACAAGAGGCCCCAGGTTCTCTAACATTGCCCCAAAGCTTCATCATTAGATACTGGAACAGAAGGACAGAACATGCTTTCACTTCATTTTGCTGGAGTTAAAGCCCACATTGAAGATGTGCTTTGCCATCATCTTTCCCGTGCTTGTTTGGCTTTGGGCTTTACCCATAAACTTCCTAAAGACTTTGCAAGGCTAGTCCACAGAAGGTAGGCACCACGTGTTCTGCTGGAAGTCTTGCAGAAGCCAGGCTTCTCTCCTATTTACTCGAGCTCCCGGGGGCCCCTTTTTCTCACTTTCCAGATCTAGAATTGTACAATTAGGGGATCTAGTAGGAGATGGTGGAAGGCCAGACTTGCCTTCAGACACCTCTCTTGCTCTTGTAGAAATATCTTTTCTCCATTTCTCATCTGTCCCTATTTTTTCATCACCTCCTTAAAATGTTTGTTAAGTGCTATACAGGTCTGATTTTATTACAAAGAATGACGTAAGCTCATCCTGTAGCCCACTCTAGTTGTAACTTTTAGGAAGAAGGTTCTTGTGGGATTTTGTTTGTTTCTTTGGTTGGTTAGTTGGTTGGTTGGTTGGTTGGTTGGTGGTTGGTGGGTGGATGGTGGTTAGTGGTTGGTGGGTGGGTGGTTGGTTGGTGGATGGTGGGTAAATTGGTGGTCAGTCGGTAGATGGTTTTCGGTTGGTTTGTTAGTTGGTTAGTGTTGGTTGTGTTGGTTGGTTGGTGATTGGTTAGTTGATGGGTGGTGGCTAGTTAGTGGTTGTTTTTTGGTTGGTTGGTGGGTAGTTGGTTAGTGGTGGATGGGTGAGTGTTGGTTAGTTGGTTGGTTGGTGATTGGTGGCTGGTTAGTGGTTGGTTGGTGGGTGGGTAATTCGTTGTTTCGTGGTTGGTTGGTGGGTAGGTGGGTGGGTGGTTGGTTAGTGGTTGTTAGGTTGTTTGGTGGGTTGGGTGGGTGGGTGGTGAGTGGGTGATTGGTTGGTGGTTTGGTGGGTGGTTGGGTGGTGAGTGGGTAGTTGGTTTATGGTTGGGTGGTTGGTGGTGGTCGGTTGGTTGTTGTTTAGTTGGTTGGTTGGTTGTGTTTAAACATAATCTCCTGCTCCAGAGGTTGCTTGTGGTCCATAGCATTGTGTAAGTATGTCAACTCGGGCTCTGTCTTCAGTTGTGTCAGGTTACATATACCTAACATCATCAAGAATTCATTTTTTTTTTTTTTTTTTTTTTTTTTTTGGTTTTTGGAGACAGGGTTTCTCTGTGTAGCTTTGCGCCTTTCCTGGACTCACTTGGTAGCCCAGGCTGGCCTCGAACTCACAGAGATCCGCCTGGCTCTGCCTCCCGAGTGCTGGGATTAAAGGCGTGCGCCACCACCGCCCGGCATAAGAATTCATATTTTATGTGTGAGCAGCCAAGTGGAACTTCCACCATCACAACTTGGAACTATGGCATAACCATTCTTGTGTTGTATTTCACAGGTTTGTGGTGGCATGTTCAGCCTGGAGGTCATGTCCGGAGACTGATTCAGAAAAGCTAGTTCAGATGATTTTTCATGCTTTCCACGATATGATACAGTTGATGAACACCGCTCATCTTTAGAGATTCAGAGACAGACACAGATCAACTCGGTACAGAGAGTAGATGGAGAAATGACCTGGAAGGAATGTTGACTTAAAGGAGGAGACTTGTTAAGTGTGGTGATTAGTAGTCTTGCTCTCTAGATTTATTCTACCTTAGAAGGTGGAAGCATCTTAAAACTTCCGGTGTTGCAGCAGCAATGTGAAGTCAGACATAGTGACACAGAACGTCTGTGCAATGTCTAATGGAAGCCTCAACAATGCACTCTCACGGTTGTGACAATGCAAATCCTACTCTAACGTTAAAATACCTTTCTTGGCACATGTATAGACTGCAAGTCCTCTGTGAACATAATTGTAGACTATTTTTCAAGCACTTTTAATATTTTCTAATTGCCAGAGGTTATATAAAGCACATGGTTAGATGCTAACTTCCCTGAAGTCAGTGCCTTCCACACCCAGTACAGGGATACAAGCCTATTAGGTTTCATGGGAAAACCACTACAGTTCAATAGTGATCTCAAAAAGCTCCTTTGAACAGACAAAAGAATCAAGTTGTATTAGAAGTATTTACATTAATACAGAAAAAAAATCCCAGCAAAACTCATATGATACATTGTAATTCATTCTGTGAATACAAAATTAAGGCACTTCCATTTAAACTTAATTGTTAGAGGTAGTGACTTTGAAAGGGTTAAATGTTGAATATTATTCTCAGGACTTTACAGTTGTTTCCCATTGATATTCACTTGTGTGGTTTATATTTTCAAAGAATAAAGCATCCAGAATCATATAGCTTCTCATCTTCTATTTGAAAAGAATGATTCCTGGTTTTGGGTTTTGTTGGTTTTTTTTTTTTTTTTTTTTTTTTTGCATTTTCTGGTATCAGTTAAATATTATATAATAAACCACTTAAAAGCGTAGTGTCTGGGCTGGAGAGATGGCTCAGAGACTAAGAGCACTGGCTGTTCTTGCAGAAGACCCAGGTTCAGTTCTGTGTGGATGGTAAATCTGGGAACACCTGTAAATGACAAGTGTGTGCAATTCATTTTTGAACTTGATGTGAGAACTTTGCGATCAGTAAGAAAGAAATTGGGGAAGTCTGCCTTTGAAAAGGGACCTCACGTCTTGTAGTGTGTACCCGGCAGACAGAAGTCATCTTTGGAAATGAACTATTTTAGACTGGTCTAGAGATCAGAACCTCTCTGAAGCTACAGATATTACTGGCTTGGATTAGCTACTTGTGACTCCAGCTTGGTCCAGCAGAATGTTCAAATTGGGAGAATATAGCATTTGCCATCTGAGACCAAGGACATGGTTGGCAGTGTGTAGACCTGAAGACAGGTGTCCCCTCTCTGTGCCTGCCTGTTCCAGGACGTAGATGTTCCCTGTGCTCCCAGTGCCTGCCCTTCCCACAGCTACCCACTGAGAGAGGATTGAACAACTCAGTAGCTCCAGCTGTTGCCCTGACAGATGTGCATAGCTATAGAAAGGGTGCTCCCAAGCCATTGTTTGGGGTTTTGTTGTTTTGTTTGTTTTTCAATGTTTATTTTGGTTTTCGATTTGCGTTTTGTTTTGTTTTTGAGACAAAGTTTCTCTCTTTAGCCCTGGCTGTCCAGGAACTCACTTATGTAGATTAGGCTGACTTTGAACTCATGGAGATCTGCTTACCCCTAACGCCTGAGCACTGGGATTAAAGGCATGCGCCACCACAGCTTACTCTAATGCAGTTTTCCTGGGCTTTAGCCAGAACCATCTCCTGGAAGGGCAGGCGCTACCACAAAAGGAGCAGAGATCACCACAATTCTTCCTGCGGCTGTCAACTTCCCCCTGTACCTTACTCAGGTTTCTAACTGACAGGGTAAGAGGAACGTGGCTTCCACTGCTTCTCTGCCCTCAGGGTGTCTGAGGAGCCTTGACCAGTTTTGTAGCTCCAGCTGCCTCCTGTTTCTTGGCACACACTACAACTGAGGGATTCAAAGGCGGAGGAAAGCGCCAGCTCCAACCATCACTCTGCCAACCCAAGCAGAGCTGAGTGGACCAGTGCCCAGCACCAGCCATAGTCCTGCTCCTGGACGTGCACTGCCACTTCCGAGAAGAACACCATGGCACCCTGCAGTGTCCACAGTTCCTGCTGCCTCTCCACCATGTGTCAGCATGGGCAAGCATTGCAGAGAGAGGACTGTGTGCCTTGTCACCACCATCAACTTCTGTCCACATCTGTCGACGGGCCAGCTAGTCAGAGGAGAAGTGCTTGAGTCCCTTCACCACCCTGAGGTGGCCAACACCAGACGGAGACGTGCTCACAGCAGAGGTGGCATCAGCTGTGCTGGAGGAAATCCGCCACCTCCACTGTAAGGCAAGCTACACCTGAACACCTCACAGCCAGAACCTGGACCACACTTCCCTGCTCTGTCAAGTGTCCCCACTTTCAATGCTCTACAGAGACAATCCCACCAAGGTAAGCACTTTGTCTTCAAAAGAAACACAGCTAAAGAAAACGTATGAGACAACACTATGGTGCCCACCTGGAATTAAAGCCAGCACCTACAGGAAATCAGTACCCCAATGTACATTTTCAGGAGTAAGCTGCTAAGGGCAGCCCACAAAGGAGATACTTCATCTACCAGATACACTAATCTCAGAGCAGCTGTGAAAGGACTGTAGAAAACAAGGCAGTATGCCTCCAAAGGAAAACAACTCTAGAAAAGGACTTAGAGGGACTTACAGGTACAAAACACACGGTAAGGAATGGAGACTGGGGAGACAGTGAAGTACTTGTGCAGCAGCAGAACCTGAGCTCAATCCCCAAGGCCCATCAGTAACAAAAACCCTGAATGCAAAGGAAGGAAAGTTTCTGATTCAGAGATACACATTCGAATAAAAAAAAAGAAAAAGAAAAAGAAAAAAAAGAAATCACAGGCAGGGAAGCAACCTGCAGCTCTTACCTTCTCCCTCTGCACCTCCAAATCCAGCCCCTCAGTCTCATTCCCAGCTCTGCAGGAGACCACCTGCTGTGACCTCCCTTCTCCCTTTCCATGTCTCCTGTGGATCCTACAGGTCTTCCCCTCCTAACTTCTCTCCCAACACTCTGCTTTATCCCAGCCCCCAACTCCGAAGAAACAAGCTGGTGTAGTCATTTTAATGTCTAACAAAATGGACTTCAAACCAAAACTGATCAGAAGAAACGGAAGAATACTACATACTAAAAGGAAAAATCCACAAAGATGAGATTTTGATTCTTATCATTGCCCCAAACACAGGGGCACCCAAATTTGTAAAAGAAGCACACTACAGTTTAAACACCATATTGATTATAGTACAGTGACAGTGGGAGTCTCCAGTATCCACTCTCACCAATGGACAGGTTATCCAGACAAAAACTAGAGAAATACTGGAGCTAACAGACATTATAAACTAATTGGGCCTAACATATTTACACCCAAACACAAAATATTATACTGTCTACTGTGCACTTTGTGGAACTTCAAAATTGATCACATATTCAGACACAAAGTAAGTCTGAACAGCTACAAGAAAATTGAAATAACCCTCCACATCTTATCAGACCACCATGGATTAAAGATAGATATCAACAACAGGAAGCTTACAAACTTGTGGAAGCTGAACAACTCTCTACTGAATGAAAAATAAATCAAAACAAATACAAAGAAATGAAAGACTTTCTAGAATTCAATGAAAATGAATACACAGCATACCCAAACTTAGTAGGACACAATGAAATGGTGCTAAGAGGCAAGTTCATAGCACTAAGTGCCTACATTAAAAAAAAAAAAAACTGGAGAGATTCCATATTAGCAACTTAACAGCACACACAAAACCTCTAGAACAAAAAGAAGAAATCACACCCAAGAGGAGTAGAGGGCAAGTCATTATCAAACTCAAGGCTGAAATCAATAAAATAGGAGCAAATAATAAAAGATGCAAAGAATCAATGAAACAAAAGAGTTGATTCTTTGAGAAAAATCAAGAAGATTGACAAACCTTTATCCAAATTAACTGAAAGGTGGAGAGAGTAAAATTAGAAATGAAAAGGAGAGTAAAACAACAGACACCAAAGAAAACCAGAGAACCATAAGGACATAATTTAAAAACATGTATTCCACCAAATTGGAAAGATCTAAAAGAAATGGATAATTTTCTTGATACATAACAATTATCAAAGTTAAATCAAGATCAGATAAGCAATTTAAACAGACCTGTATCCTCTAAGGAAATAGAAGCAGTAATTAAAATTCTCACAACCCAAAAAAGCCAAGGGCAGGTGGTTTTTAGTGAAGAATTCTACTAGACTTTGAAAGAAGAGTTAATGCCAATACTCCTCAAATTATTCTACAAAACAGACACAGGAGCACTGACCAATTCATTTTATTAGGCAATAGTTATCCTGATAATCAAACCACATAAAGACCTAACAAAGAAAGTGAATTACAGACCAATTTCTCTTATGAACATAGATTCCAAAATTCTTGCAAACCAAATCAAGAACATTTCAAAATATCATACATCATAATCAAGTAGGCTTTATCCCAGAGATGCAGGGATGGTTCAACATTCATAAATTGAATTGACAAATGTAATCCACTATAAAAAGAAACTGAAAGACAAGACAAATTATCATCTTAATAGTTGCAGAAAGGCTTTTGAAAAAACTCAACACCCATTCATGATAAAAGTCCTGGAGAGATTGGGGATACAAGGGTCATACCTTAGCACAATAAAGGCAATTTACAGCAATCTCATAGCCAACATCAACTTCAATGGAGAGAAACTTAAAGCAATTCCACTAAAGTCAGAAACAAGACAGGCTTTCCACTCTCTCCATACCTATTCCATACAGTACTTGAAATCTTAGCTAGAGTAATAAGACAACTGAAGGATATCAAAGAAATACAAGCTGGAAATGGAAAAAGTCAAAGTATTGCTATTTGCAGATGATATGATATTATATATGTGACCCTAAAAGTTCCACCAGGGAACTACTACAATTGATAAACCCTTTCAGTAAAATGTCTGGATACAATATTAACTCACAAAAATCAATAGTCCTCTTATATACAAATGACAAATGGAGTGAGAAAGAAATTAGGAAGACAAAACCTTTCACAATAGCCTCACATAATATAAAATATCTTGGAGTAACTCTAACCAAGCAAGTGAAAGATATTTATGACAAAAATTTCAAGACATTGAAGAAGCTGTTAGAAAATGGAATGCTCATGGATCAGTATGATGAGTATAGTAAAAATGGCCGTCCTACCAAAAGAAATACACAGATTAACTACAATCCCCATTAAAATACCAACACAATTTTTTACAGACTTTGAAAAGACAAATGTCAGCTTCATATGGACACACACACACACACAATATGAATAGACAAACAAATAGTTAAAATAATCCTGAATAATAAAACAACAGCTGTAGGATCACCACCCCGACTGAAGTTGTGCTGCAGAGTTATAGTAATATAAAAACAGCATGGTATTGGCCCAAAAACAGGCACCCTGAATATTGAAATCAAACTGAAGACCCAGACCTAAATTCACACATCTATGGGCACCTGGTTTTTTGATAAAGAAGCCAGAAATGCACAAGCTGGGGGTGGAGGGAGCATCTTCAACAAGTGGTGCTGGTCAAACTGGATGCAAATAGATCCATACTTATCACCTGCACAAAACCAGATACACTGAACCTGATAGAAAATAAAGTGGGGAATAGCCTTGAACATAATTGTACAGAACAATACTTCCTGAATAGAACACTATTAGC